TGGAGGACATTGGTCGATAATGGGCCTCATGAAAAGTAACTTTCACAGATGCCATAAGAGTAAGCTCGTGGACATGTGCATTCTCCCCATTCTCACGTATGGGGCACAAACTTGGTCTTTGACTGGACAGAAGAGGTCCGCGCTGGAGGCCGAGCCATGATGACGTTTCATGGCTCGCTGGCAAACGCCAGCGAGCCATGAAACGTAGTATTCTGGGTGCACGGCTGACAGACAGACAATTTGGATCTCACGAGTTGCCAAACGACAGGGTGGTAGACCCAGGTGACGATGGCGGGGCGGGGGCCCTGAAGGCCAGCAACGTCGCGATACTGCGACGACCGCAGCGAATGCTGGCCATCAGGATCATAAGGGGGTACCGCACGATCTCCTTTGAGGCAGCGAGTCTCCTGGCCGGAACTCCACCGTGGGACCTGGAGGCGAGAGCCCTTGCGGCACTGTATCAGTGGCGCAAGGAGGCGCAGGAGTTGGGTCGATGCCCCGAGACTCGAGAAATCGAGGACCGGAAATCCCAACTCCGCCAGGTCATCATAGGGGAGTGGAGGGAACGACTCGGGCAACCGAGCGCCGGGCACGCCGTCATTGCGGCGGTAAGACCCGTTATGGAGGATTGGCTCGAGAGGCGTCACGGGACCCTCTCATACCGATTGACGCAGGTGATCACTGGGAAGGGATGTTTCGGAGATCACCTGTGTCTGATCCGCAAGGAGCCAACGCCTGAGTGCCACCACTGCGATGGCCAGACCGTGGACACGGCTCTCCACACGCTGGCAGAGTGCCCGGCGTGGGTTGAGCAGAGGCGAGACCTCGTGGCGGCCATCGGAGTGGGAGTTCTCTCGCTCGATAGCCTGATTGCGGCTATCGTGCGGAGCGAGAGTGCGTGGAACTCTGCCGTCTCCTTCTGCGAGCAAGTTATGCTCGCGAAGGAGACGGCGGAGCGGGACCGGGAGAGGTTTAGAACTCTCCCGGCCCGCCAGGCCCGGGCACGGGCCAGGCAGCGCAGGTCACTCAGGCGCCGGAGGTCGCAGAACGACCTCCGTCCTCCATAAGCGCAGGCCTGGGGGTGACAGGTGAGGCCATCTGTCACCCTAGCAGAAGCAGGCCGGGGTGGCGGCGAGCGCGTTGCGAAGCGCGCTCGCTTTCAGGGAGCACAGGGAACATGGGGTTCCCACACGGGGCGGGGGTCGTCTACTCGTCTGTAGATGACCCGAGGTATGTCGGGGCACCAGGGCCTTCCTTTCTAGGGTATACCTGGTTCCCCGGCTATTAGTACCCGGCGAAGGCGTGCGGTTTTAGTCGGTTCGAGTCCGACATGCCACCGACAGGTGGTATCCGAGGGGATTTCCACACGGGAAAAAAAAAAAAAAAAAAAAAAAAAAAAAAGGTGACGATGGCGGGACGATCTAGACAGCTTCAGAAAAGATTAGTCCGAACTAGCACACGACAGAGAGATTTGGAAGGTAGAGAGGGGCCCTTGCCCTAGGGAGAGGTACAACACAGGCTAAAAATAAAATAGATTTGTAGCTTGGAAAATAAAAATACATTTAGAGAGACACAATTGAAATGTAATATACCTACCTACAATATTTAATGTTTCCTAATAAGAACTAGACCGATTTGTATGCTATATACCTACCATTAGGCGACAAGTAGACTTGTTTGATAACTTGTTGTAAAGAAACGGTTTTAAAGGAAAATGTAACTCTTGGAAGCTCTACGTTAAAATATCAACTAGATAATCTGATACGTAAACAGAGAACTTGTTTATACAACAAAGCGTACAGACACCTTTCAATATAGCATCCAGTCATAAGTGTGTACCTACTACCTATGTATATTTCTAAGTCGAATATCTTAATTAGTTCAAAGCACCTGGGTACCTACTATTTACTAACAAAATAAAGGCAGATATTTTTAAGTGAAATTCGCTGTCAAAACTAGAATGAAACTAATCTAACTTGTTTTGGCCTATGGAGTTGGTTATTAGTAGTTCTGACTATAGGTATATAAGTAGTTCTGGCTGGCTAAATCCTTTAGTTTACGAACAAACGTTACGGAGTTTACGAACTAGAACTACTTACCATCCGGCATTCAACTCACCAGTTTGCTTAAGAGAAAAGCCCTTGACAAACTAGATAGGTATTTTGTTAAAAAATAATACTAGTCTTTCGTAAATTGGATATTATATTAGACTCATACGGTGGCGGATTAGCCACGTAGCAAGAGTAGCAAATGCTACGGGACCCGCGCATTTCGGGGCCCCACGCACCAACGCTTTCACATTTCTTATCACGAAAGAGTCCTGAATCTGTATTTAATGTCGCCTCTATAATTGAAAATATTCTCCCAAATTGGGCGGACGCAGCGCCGACCAACCTGTACGATGACCGAGTTGACCACGATTGAGGCGCCAGGGGGCAAAACCACGATGTGGCCCATGTAATAAGAGGCCTCCGTCTTATCTCACTCACTTATATGCCCAGCACCTCAATGCGCCCGACCACCAAAGAAGATGGCCAGGCCGCTTCTTGACAGTCACCCCACGGGCTGTAACCAAATAACAGATTCCCAGCCCAGGAGGGAAGTCAACTAGAAGGGCCCAGTCGTACCCTATGTTCCACAGAAGGGGCCCAAAACCAGAGCTCTGTCTAGTCAACCAGCCAACCCGCTCGGCCAGCTTGGCAAAACCTCCTTTCTAAGGAGAGGCTTATATCCAGCAGTGAACTATTATATGCTGCTGATGATGACGAATGCCATAAACTACTTAGACCATTCTAAAACAATCCAAGAGCCCCTTGATAAAATTTGCTACAAGCCTCGCGCTAGCTTAATCCGGTACTGGACTCAACTACTCTCCAGTACATAACCCATTCCTAGTGAAGTCCGCAATAACATGACGCACCAACCTACATGTGTTTAAAACCCTGACCTCTTCAAGCTACCTACTGTAGGTAGTCTTAGTCCCATTTCACATCACTATAGGTTTTTCCCACAATTTACCTTCTTTTGTTCCACCTAAAATAATTATATTCCTAAAGTTAAAGTCAGGAGGCCTGCCATAAAAAAAGAAGCAGAAATTCTTTAAAAAGTTACAAATTGCGGTGATCCAAATTAAAAGTGGTAATAAAGCAGGAAATTATGTGCTAAAACAAGTATTTAAGAAATGCACTGTGCATGTTGACACATATTGGTATAAACTGGGAAACAGCTTCGAGGTCCATATCCAAAAACTATAAGAATTTGATTTGGCACAAATATGAGGACATTTACTTTTCCTGGCTTTTTGATCTTTAGAACTACCTAAACATTGCAATTAATCTTGTTTCTATATGAATACAAAAAATTACATCTCCCTTGTTAAAGGGTAATCTAGAATTTTCTTTTTCCTGTAAATAACACAAGGGCACTATGATGGAATCCTCTAAAGAGACTGATAAGGGCTGTCTCATTCCAACAAGAATATGAACCTTTTGTCTTAGTGGCTTTCTTTATCTCAATTCATCTGAATTGAATGTGGTCTTGAATGCATATTTTTTCATCAGTTTGTGATAATTAATTGTTGCAGCTGTTGAAAAAATATACATTACTCATATGTAGTCATGGTACCATTAGAAATGAAAAACAGATTACTTCGATGAACCCTTTAATTTGACACTATTTTGATGATAAAATTCAAACTGAAAATTGTCAAAGTTATTATCGCCAGAACTACATTTTACAACACATGTGACAGTATTATGGGAGCATTTGCACTGGTATTACAATCAAACTATTATTTACAGAATCAACATAAAGTAGGCCTAAACTTGTTTATTTAGAAACATACTATGCTCCCATCTTATAATGCAACACCTAACAATTCAATTGTGGAATATTTTTTTAATTTCTTGTAAAGGTAACATTTATAACACGAGGTGTACAAGCACAAAGATGGATTATTTTTTTTATGATGTTTGCAATATTTTATGATTTACAACATACAGGTCCTTATAGATGGATCTTAGTTTAAGTCAATAATTGGAAAAGTGATACTTCAGTTGCTAAAAGTATTTATCATAGTAAAGACTTAATGTCTTGGAAGTCAAGAGAAAACACTTCCAGTTCTATATGTTTAATTTTTTATTTGTTAATGTGCATAGCACTACACACCTAGCATCTGTAAAAGTTGATTCTTAGGAGAAACGTAACTTAAGAAATTATTTTTCCTCCCTAAATAAAGACTTTACATCTTTAAGAAAAATATTTGAACCAATCATTTGATTCTCTCCGCATTTAATGTATGTCTTTCTTTTGCATGACATGCATACATATACCAAAATTTCACAATATTTTTTATATAAATGGCCGGGAATATGTTACTATTAGGTACTGACAAAATTTCACATACAATAAAACCTAAAAAAACTGATCCCTATGTGTTAATGGGTAAGAATAAATTCTTGTAAAGATATAGCAAAGTCTGCAGTCCTTATAACATTAAAAGACGTTTATATTTCAAAATTATCTTACTCAAGTTTTAATGCAACACATTTCAATAAAAATATCTTTTAGAAAAGCGTATTTGTCAAGGTATTTGTAGTATTGTCCTTCAAAATGTACATATAATTAACATTGCAATGAGCACAATTACAACTAAACGGAAGGTACATAACAATCTGATATATTGGATTTTGAATAACCTTAAGCTCGAGCCAATATAAAATATCACAACTAGCCGCTCAAGGGACCTTTTTAAGATCAGTCCAAAATAGTATAATAGAATGGTCACTAAAATTCATTCTCTGTACAGGTTACAGTCAAAGGTTTAAAACTTATTTAAAAATACTCCAAACAATGAGTCACTACAAAACTAGAAGGTCTACACAACATTTTTTTTGAGAAGATTCAGTTTATACTGCTTTAGTTTATATTCAAATTACGGCTGTACATTTTATACTTTAAATAGCAACTGTCATAACAGCCACCTATATAAAGAAGGAAGTTTATGACACAGAGAATGCCTTTTCTGAAAAGGATTTTACATAAGCCTCATGTAATTTGTTCACAAAGTCAGCGTCATGTTTTAATAAGTAATTAAAAGCTTGAAGCAGCTGGTTCCTAGTAAGAGGCTCAGGAGAAGGCTGGATATCGCCGCCACTACTAGCAGTGAACATCGTTGGAGGCATCAGCGCTGGCTTCTGCTGAGTTGTTACAGAGTCAATCAAAGGGTACATTCCAATATCATCCAATTTGCTACCATTAAAAGAGCTTACCGTGTGGCTGATGTCTTGAGACTGATTCAAATAGGTAGCCAGTGGAGACGTAGGTTTCGGTGATGATATATGCATCAAATTCAATTCACTTTCTAGTGTTATACCATTAGTATCACTAGAATCCAACTGACTCTTCTTCATTCCTGGTAATCTCTGCTGACTTTGCTTGTCAATTGGAGTTGATTTCAATTGGAAACCACATGTTGGCCTCATTGTTGAGTCTATGTTCATGTTTCCATTTGAGCTTTGGGCCTCCTGAGGGGTCACTGAGCGTTGCTGCTTTTCTATGTGCTCCACAGTATGTGCAGGATTACTCATGAGCCTCTGTAGTAGCTGCGGAACCTCACGAGCGTCCGTGGAACGTGGGCCAAATATGCCCGGAGATGGCAACGACGACACAGCAGGCATTTGAGCAGCCGCGCCGCTTCCAGCTTTTGCGAAGAAATCCATTACACTTTGTGACGCCATGTCAGGTGCCCGTGACGGTGTCAATTCACTCTTATTGGCAACGAGCCCTTTGTTAGAATTGAAGTCATCCTGGGCTTTGCTCAACATGCTGAATATGTCAACGGGTGCGCTTGAGGGCGTTGATGAATTGTAGACTGGGTTCTGTGCCATATTCTCGCCGGCACCGGGAGCTTGTTTCATCGACTCTTTGATCAGAGAATTTAACTTTGTGGCAACTCTAACGCACTCGTCTTTATCGTAAAACCATATGCCATAAATCCGACACTTGGCGTTTCGATACAAAAGAAAAGGTTCCTTCAGCTGAAGTTCTATGCCTTTCGATACTGGCTCAATTAGGTTATTCGTACTCAATCTGTTCATAATCACTAAACTATGGTACGGTTCCCCATTTCTACTGTACACAAACAAAGCACCTTCGATGTTAGTTTTCTCCCATTCGTTCTCTTCGAACGTATAAAGCGCAACGTGGGTAGCACTGTCGATTATTTCTCTAGCGTATGGATCTGCCCTCTTTAGGGCAGCAAAATTCATACGTAATCCAGTGTCAGCCATTTTAAAGCAACAAAATACAAGTTTTTATACAGCGAGTAAGCATCACAGCAAAATGACAAGAACGAATAAATTCGCCATTTTCAAACCGTTCCTTGCTAATTTCGTTCAATTATATTCTACCTTCGAAATGTTTCACAATTATACATTTTCAAACATATGTTATTTATAAAGAAATAGTTATTGGCATTTTAAATCAGAACTACTTAATCAAATAAACAAGGCTTAAAAATTCATGACAAAAACATACAATACGACACAACATTTCTTGCTTATTATGAGTAGGAAGGAACGTAATTTTTGAAACCGAAGTGCGTAGGTAGAGGTAGAGATGTGACGGTCTGGAATATTGTCAAACCGAGTTGAATCGGTTTAGCAATTCATGTGAATCGGTTCCAAACCGAACCATTGAAATTGCAGTAAAACGCGGTTTGAACCGTATAATGAATTGACCAGCGAATGTAACATACGAAAATAACGTGCAACATGATTCGATGGGAAAAATTTTTTGAAATGTAAATTTGGTTGCCAACCGTTGACAAACCGTTAAACGATTTTAACGGTTTGTCAACGGTTGGCAACCAAATTTACATACACACGTTAAACTTGACATTACCTCTACTACCCGACGACCGACGCGGCGATGGTATGAATTAACTGGTAGTTTGTTGAGAGCTAAAGGCAATACAACAAACTACCCAGTCAAGTAACACGTTAACCAAGCCTTCTTGTTTTGGTGGATATAAGAAAAATATGTCGTTTATGTCCGAGCGGTTAGTAAATCGGTTTATGAATTAAATTATTATTAAACTGATGACGCTCGCTAACCGTATCCGATTTTGTAGAAACATAGTAATATAGCTTGTACTTGCAGGTGAAGTGATAAATATATATGTATTTACTACCGTCACGCATCGACTCGCCTTAGAATCAGTTGATAGATAAATTAGCTTTGTTCGATCGATAAAGCAGGAGCCACGAGTCAAATCGGTTCATGCTCAAACCTGTTTAAATCGGTTAGAAAAGATGACTCGTTCCACCACTAGGTAGAGGTACTGTCCTGATGGGTAATGGGTGTAATTATAGATGTAAAACAGCCGATTTAAAACGGTTTAAATAAAATGTTCGTTTTAAATCCCAAATAAATAAATAGGTTGAAAACTGACCTACAAAAATAATAAAAATGTGTTTTACACTTCATTGCGGGCAATTTTTGGTCACCCGACGTCATGTTTCGTTTTAATTAGTTTATAGAAAATCAATAGAAAGGACCTACCTACATTACCTACAACATGAAAACTTAAGTATGTAGGTATACATACCTATACTCAAAATATCATTGCCTATACTTATTTATTATATTATATTACACACACTACATTAGAAGACATCATTACCACAATGCCGTCCGTTTTACTTGCGCATGAAAGAGACAACGTTATGTCTTCAAGGCCGTCGCGAGTGACGACGTCAACGAGAGCGCCAGAGTGTGAGCTTTGTTTAAACCAAATCAAATTGATTATTTATATCGTTTAAAAACAATGAAAAAAATAATACCATAACAGAGTTTTAACTTATCAATACAGTTATTATAACTTTGGTAGATAATACCTACACTTGGTCGGACGAATCAACTAAAACTAAACCTGCTAAGTAAATCAATATCAGTATTTCACACATTTAAAAAATCTTTACATAGTTTATAGATACTCCGTCATATCCCTACCTCGGTAAAATCAAGAAAATGGAGTTATAATTAAGAAAAACTTAGTCATCAACAGCAATCATTTTAAATTAAAAAAAAGGTTTTTTGGTGTTAAGCGTTTTTTTTGTTTTACCCGGATTTATTTAATTGGTTTTAATCCAGCCTTACATCTATAGGTGTAATATAGTTACCTAGTATGACGCTCCATAACTGTATAGTTGTATACTTCAGAGTACTTTGAATATTGTAATATAAAAATCACGCTGGTTTTCCTAGAAGACAAAACACTTAATATCATTAGTAAGCTATGTTAGTAGCTAAACGAGACGTACGCAGTATTATGGCTATTCCTTTTCAAAAACATTATAAATAACTCAGTGAATACATATTAGAATTAATAATATATTTAAAGGAAAATATGGAGTTATCAGTATTCAAGTACCAAGCAGATGTTACAATTTCGCTTGGATTCTGTATCACTTAAGGAAATCGCGCATTAGATCGCTAGAATTTAATTACCAAATAAATAACTGGCCAATACCGACTTCGTCTAGTTACTGTAACCGCTGGGAGTATGTGTGTTCTGTGCTCGTAACCAACATTAGTCAAACACAAACTAGTAGTACAAAATACCTTCATATTAAAAAAAATAGACTGGCTGGTTTTTCAACCGGATAATTCGGGTAAAAGTATTATCAAACAAAAAAAAAATACCTTGGGAAAAATTGGTTCGTCGCAAACCCGTTTTAATAAATAAAACAAATGAGATTTTTTTTATGGAAAAACAAAAAATAAGAGGTTGTAGTGTGAGAAAACACAAAGAAAATGAGACTTACTGAAGAAAATACGCTTTAATGTAAAAAAAACGTTATTTCTCGCCCTTTATTTTCTCAACATGTGTGACTCGTGGGACATCCGTTCTGGGCTCAATTATAGCTGTATTAAAACTATTTTTTTGTAATGAAATTTTCGTTGCAGAATAATATCAAATTGCAGCACAAAAGGGTAGATGACTGTCAATTCAAATCAGTGTCTTTTTTTAAACGTCAAAATAACGCTGGGCCCGGTACATTTTTGTATGAGATACTATTTCGTGACGTCATACCTAGTTATTGTCAAATCATTTGTATTTAACGTTGATTTCAATAAAAAAAGAAGAATAAAAAAATCAAATTGACAATGGAGGACAATTCAGCCTCTACTTTGAGATGTTAGATTTAATAATACAGGCGAAATAATTTATTTTAAACCTAGGAATCTATCCTATTTGCGAAAATGTTAAAATTGGTGCTTTGGAAAAACCGTGCGAGATCGGTAAGAAAGAATAGAATAAGCTTTATACACCGGTATAGTACATAATATATAAATACTATGGTAAATCAAGTTATTGACCATATACAATTGGCGACCTTATTAAAGCAATTTCATAAAGGCAACCTTTTGATGGACAAATAGACTGTAGATAGGTAAATTCATTCGCAGTTTCGGAGTGAGAAAAAATGTAAAAGAATCATAAATTATATATACAGTATAACAGCATTAATTTGAAATTGATAAAAAGGAAATAACAAAGTAGTATTGATAATAATGCAACAATACCTACTTATATAATCGGTAAAACACATATCCATTCTTAATTTGATTAATGCGAAAGTGTGTCTGTCTGTAGGTCTGTTAGCTCTTCACGCTGAAACCGCTCAACCGATTTTAGTTTTAATCCCAGAAATCATACTTTAAAACGGTGAAAAGAAGTGGAAGTTTGTATGGGGAATCAAGAACCGCTGAACCACTTTCAGAGAAACTTGGTATGGAAAAGCAAAAGCTCGGGCAAAAGCTAGTATAGAATAATAGATAGATAGATACATACATACATAACATCTACATTTCCATTACAGAGGAATACAACAGATGGAATATGTTTTGTAAATTAAGATGGCAGGTAATGTTTTTTGATCATTTTATTAAAGATAGGCAGTTTTGTAAAGTTTATAGGCACTGGCAAAGCTCTCCGTAGTCGGACAGCCTGTACAGTAAACGATTTATTGTGGAATGTGGTACAGTGAGTTGGAACTGCCAGTTCCAGAGATTCAGATGACCTAAAGGATCTTCAATGCGTGTCACCGAGGAAAACAAAGCGTTTCTTTAAATAAGTTAGAGTACACGGGTGAAATAGAATCGGTATACACACACACACACACACACACACACACACACACTTCGCTGCCATGCTCCCTTTGCTGCCTAATAGGAGCGCTCGCGGCAAAAATCACTCGATTTTCTTTACGTTTTCACGACTCTGACATGCATCTGGGAGATTTATAATTATGAAAAGGATTTATGCTTGTGTTTCAAAGTGATTTGGTGAGAAAATAAAGTTAAATGTACGGTGTACACTACACTTATTTTCTCACCAGATCAAAAATCAAACAATAGAAACAACCTTAATACCTAAAAAAGGCGTGTTTCTTAATTTAATTCTATTAAAATTTAATTTAATTCGTTATAAATGATTATTTTACTGATTATTGAAGAAAATATATTACAAATTGAGGTCCTTAATGTAGATTTTTATTTAATGCGGTTTTTATCACATAACTATTTTACAAGATTTTATTAATGCGATCAAAAAATGTATTTCATTCATTTTACAAAAAAAAATCTTAGGTTTTGTTTCACTTTTGATGAGTCTTGAGGTCAGTTAGTAATCTCCTCTTCTGCTCCTCCTATTGGTTATAATGCCGATTTGAGAATTGATTTGGCATTAAAATTATAAATCTTTTCATATATTTTTACAAGTCGGACTTTACAGCTAGAAGGCGCCGGCATTTCCTAAGACTCACTCTGGGAGAAAACGCGGCAACAAATTGAAAACAAACGAAATACGAATTAAAACAAAAAAAATATCGCTTTCAAATGTGGGAGAGAGCAGCCTCAATCCCAAGCAAAGTTGTTATCAAAATAATCTATAAAATCATTAAATGTCAAAGTTAATTTTTATAGTGTACATAAATTAATAGCAATTTTCCGTTACTGACGAGTAGTGGGTACGCAGATTACGCATGAGATTGCAATACACTTAAGTCTTTATTAAAGTAAAAAAAACAATGTTTTTAGTTATCATTTCCATTTAGTTTTATACATTGTATTAGTAAAGTATTCAAAATGCATTCGATAATTATTGAGACAAAATAAGTAGCTTAGAAAAAATGTTACATAATGTAAAAAGATAAGCTTATTGAACTTACTGTAAAGTGTATCACGCAACTGTTGACTCTTTGCACACAACTAAACGAAACGTCAATCGTAAACTTTAAACGTCATTCATTTAAAAGTTTGCTAGCGCGTGTGAAGACGGCTAGTCGCAATAAAATTAATGTTTGTCGATTAAATATCTCTTCAACTTTAGCTGTTTTAGCCGATATTATTCATGAACTTATAAATAGTAATTATATTAATAATTGGTATATTTAGTTGTGTTTGATACGTGAATAAGGTTTAATTTCGCTAGTAAATAAGCTTCGGGATCATGTCTGGTGGTAACGTCCTGGTGATTGGAAGCGGCGGCCGGGAACATGCTTTGTGTTGGAAGCTGTCCGACTCACCGTTTGTGCAGAAAGTCTACTGTTCACCTGGAAGTGTCGGGATTTCCACGACAGACAAAGTGGAGTGCGTGGAGTTAAACATCAAAGATTATACAGTAAGTTTCTTATAAGAAAATATTTTTCGCTCCAATAAAATAATAATAATAGTTTGACACATTTCACCAAACACAGATCAATCAAACTGCTGTTAAACATATATACATTTCTAAGTAAATTACACCAAGACACATAATATTTGTTTTGTGGTCATGCTTATCACATAATATGCTTGTGTTTAGTACGGATTTAATGGGATGAATTTTTAAATAGATAGAAATAAATATTATATATTAAGCTTATTCAATTTTAATTTTTAAACTCCAAGTTACTTTTATCAATTATTTTTTATTATAATTCAATTTAAATGGGGTTTGTTGTTACTAGTTACTGTTATATTTCTATAGACGAACAAGTCTGGCCCAGCAATTAATAGATAAAATAAATATTTTCACTTGATGACGTTAATCAAGTTGTGAGCTTAAACATGTTATGATAGGATACAGGTTCTTAAATAAAAAAAAACTTTTTTTTTTAAAGCATCACTAACATCAATGCTCCTACAATATGAATTGTAATAAACCGTTATTTTCACTCCTGAATTTTTCTTTGTTAGGGTGATTTTTAAAAAATTATATTTTCCGTTTTGTTGAATGAGACAAAACGCGAAATATAATCTTTTTCATAAAAAGAATTTATCAAATCACTTTAGTTTATCAATTACACTACGCGTCACACAATTAGTCGTCTTGAGTGTGAAATAGCAGAACTTTTTGCTGGTAGTCACTTTCCATTAGGTGACTTGTATTCTCATTTGCAGCCTCTTCCATAAAAAAAATATATCAGTTCATACATGACAGACCACTGTACATAATTTTTTTTTTTCCTTTAACTATCATGGTTTTTACGAATTACAATAATACAAAAAAATAGTAACAAGTGTTGAACCTCCTATTTTTTAAGTTGGTTACAAAACAATTGAAGATCGAACAGTGCATAATTAAGAAATTGCCTACGTTATAAAATCAATTTCTTGCCCATGAAGATGGAACTGTCTTTCTAACATTTTTTTAGAATTAATAAACGTTTTAGTCTTTTGACTCGTTGAAAAAAAAAGTGAAATCTTTTCTCATTAAATATTATTAAAATTTGAAAACTGTGTAAAAAATGACCTAAGCATTGTCAGAACTTCACTGCTGATAAATTAGTTTTTAAAATTAGGTTCTTCAAGTCTGCTTCTATTTGTACCTAACGCTTGATTTGGAATTTACAACAAAAAGTTAAATAAACCAGACTGTAAACCAGATATTGTTTATTTCATGGACTTGTTGGCCTAGTGGTGAATGAACCTTGAGCTAAGCTAGAGGTTTGATCCCCAATCCAGGACAAATAACTGTGTGGTGAGCATGATCATTTGTTCTCTGTCTGGGTGTACTACTTATCTACAGTCTGTATGTATTTCGAAATATATAAGTATGTTTTTCAGCAGTCTGTTAGTAGTTAGCCGAGAATAAGTTAGTAGAATCCAGTAATTGAATATCTTATAAAGTTTTTACATACATATTCTATACTCAGACCTGTGTCCCCGAAGGGAGTAGAAGAGAAAGTCAGATGCATAATTAAACAACTCATTTTGGCCGAATATAAAGACGGGCCTGTTGGTTTAGTGGCTAGTGTCCTGATTGCTAAGCTGGAGGTTGTGGGTTCAATTCCCACCCAGGACAAATATTGTGCATTCATTACACAATCATCACAATTTTTTGTTCTGTGTCTGAGTGCAGTTTCTATTATACAAATAAATAAAATTGAAGTGTCTCTTTGTAATTTCAAAATAATAGGTTATTTTCATGCTCACACAGTTATTTGCACAATACCTATGCCTAAAAACCAGTTTAATATTTTTTTTGGCCTTCTGTGAAATCCCATAAAATTTTGCCTGGTTTGCTCCGGGCATCGAACCCACTAAGGCAACGCTTTTCAGATTCCACGCGAACGAAATCGCTTGTACCAGCTAGTCTATAATATCTATGTATTTAGAAATATATATAAGTATTTTTATAAGCAATCTGGTTACCATAGTACAGGCTCTGTACAGTTTGGAACCAGACGGCCGTGTGTGAGATGTGTGAAGTTTATTGCCCTCAATTACAATCGTCCATTAAGCACAATCAGTGGGTAGGAAATTTGTTTTTCTTTAAAACAAATCACCTACATAGTCTACCAATCTGTACTAAAAAGTAATTACTATGCTTGCATATTATTTCAATTCAATTCAATGTTTCATTTACAAAAATGGGTGTACAAATTAAATCTTATTTTCTATAAAATTAGGTGTAATATATGTTTCATCAACGTCTAGGGTAAGCAGAGACGATAGAACACCAATTGCGCCTTCCTGAGATACAGCATTCATCTTTTCTAGATTCGTCAAATGGTTTATACACGCTCGCCAGTTTCGGGTGATTTTAAAGAGGCCCGTTAACTAATTAAGATGATAAGTCAACCAGAAAAGACTAATAGGAACTTAAATTCTTATCAATAGGGTATGTTGTTACTATCACAAATTAAATTGTACAGTGTGTGCCTCCTTAACTCCCCTATCTCCCAGCTGAAATGCAGTCAATGACCTTAGACACTATCACTCGTGTAAGACGTGAAATAATTTACTTTTATCAGTTAGTTGCTAGTCAATAGCTACAATGTTGAACTAATTTATATGCCTTTGTAGCAATAGTGAAGTTATTAGAATATATACTTATTAATAATAGGGGTTAAAGTATGAAATTGTCGTTGTATAGTAATAGATACTATGAATTTACATAAAACCTTCATGGTGTGAGATTTTCGTGTAAAACTTTTCACATGATACCATGAGGTTCTTCTTTTAAAAAATATGCATGATTCGATTTTCGACTTTCAATTGTTTTTTTTTTATTTAGCTTAGACATAAAAGATGGATACTTCGAAGGTCTAAGCCATTTTTGAATACGAGTTCCGACGCGGAATTAACGCGGCAAAAACAGCTCGCAATATCAACGCTGCGTTTGGAGAGGAAACTGCTAATGAACGCTCCGTGCCTTTTTTGGTTGAAACTCTTTCATAATGGTAGACCGTCCACACAGGTGAATAACAATGAATAGAAGGAGATGGTGGAGGCCGAACCGTGTCAAACTACCCAAGAATTGGGTGTCTCATGATTTGACTGATCTCCAGAAAAAAATGCATGTTGAAACTTGTGTTATCTTGTTGAATCGGTACAGAAATGAAGGAATATTGGATTGAATTGTGACATGTGACGAAAAGAGGATTGTTTACGATAACCGTAAGCGAAAAATGCAATGGCTGACCCCGGGTCAAATGCCGCAATAGTGTAATGGTAACTGTCTCTTCATGGTGTTATTCACTATAGATTTCTCAAGTCTCGTCAGGCAACAACAGCAGATATTTACTGTGCCGAACTTCGAACAATCATGGCGAAACTGACAGTGAAACAGCCCCGACTCTTGAATCGATCTGCACCATTATTGCTCCATGATAACGCAAGACCTCACACTGCACGAGAAACCGTTTTAACTCTACAGAAGCTGCAGTTAGGAAGCATACGTCATCCTCCGTACTCGCCAGACCTTGCTCCAACGGACTACCATGTTTTTCGTGATTTGGACAGTTTTCTACGCGATAAAAAAGTTTCTTCTTTGGAGGCAGTACAAAATGCTTTCAAACAGTTTGTTGAATCTAGATCCACAGAGTGCTATCGTAAAGGCATAAATGTATTTGCGTTGAAATGGCAGCAATGTATAGATAATGAGGGTAAATATTTTGATTAAATAAATATGTTACATCTTAGAAAAAAAACAATTTTAATTTTGTAGTACAAATCGGCAATTTCATACTTTAACCCCTAATATTATAAAGCTAAACAGCTTGCTTGAACATGCCAATCTTAGTAACTTCTGGTTTGAATTGAGAAATCTCTGTGTTAGATAGTCCATTTATCGAGAAGGGCTATAGGCCATTATAACATCACGCTACGAACAATAGGAGTCGACCATCAATAAAAATGTTGCAAAAACGGGCAAAATATATAGGAAGTGTCGCGGGTCAGCTAGGATTTAATAATTTCAGCAATTTTATTATGTAACATCAAAGTTAATATAAAATGTGATGAGTGAAAGTTTAAACATTTTAATGGTCTTGAGGTGTGAATAAATTATAAACCTAACAAATGGCGGAAGGTAATTTTCACCTACTTCTAAATGTCGTATCGAAACGAAACTTTGTATATAGAAGAAGTACATTTGAAGTTGAGATGACTATATATTAATATCTAAATGTTTGTTGAAGTGTGTTTTTAATTTTTGCTTAATTAGAATGTGCTAGATTTTTGGGCGACTTGCTTGCAAAGCCTTTTTTCGTTAATCAAAAAGTTTTAGGATTTATTATATATATATATAATCCGTGTGGTGACGGATTAAGAATACGGGATGTCACCACCCCTATTCATCCCGTGGGTGTCGTAAGAGCCGACGAAGGGAGCAAACTACGCAGGACAACATCACTGCTAAGAGAAGGATAACTCGACATACACCCTATACCAACCCGCCTGGCCGGCGTGGTATAGTAGGCCAAAACCTCCTTCCTATGAAGAGGCCTATGTCCGACAGTGGTCTATTACAGGCTGTTAATCTGATGATGATATAAACTTCTTTGAATATACAGGACCTAATGCAGATGTGACATAATAATGTTCTATGCAGTTTCATAAACAATAGTAAAGTAGTATTTTTTAAAAAGGCAATTGGTAATTATTGTGTCACAAAAATAAACCCAAGGAGGAACCAACAAATTCGCTTTCTGGTGGTGACTTCGGAGTCGAACTACTGGATTAATATAAGAGCGATCCGGGAACAGCTTTCATTAAACAACCAAGACCCTAGAATTGATATGGCAACATTTGTTGATGTCCCTTTGTTCTGGACAATAGTTTTCTCAAAGTCGAATCATCTTACAGATTAAAAAGCGTAAATTATAATGTCCAAACTTCTTATAAGTAATTATACTTATTATAAATGTATTTTTCTCTCATTAAACGATTCACGGACCATTTGTATGTCAATTAGCGACGATAACATAAGATATGCACAATGAGTACAAGTTTAGTTTATGTAAAAGCATACATTATCTTATAATGTTTATAGTTCAATAGTTACTGCGTAGATCTATTATCACCATCAGCTGTACAACGCTAATGGGTATCTACTATTTGGTTATACTAAATGCAATGAAGCTTAGGGCCTACCGTTGATGAGGATAGATAAAACATATTTCAAAATAGCCCAGTCCAGATCCTTAGTGCTTAGGCACCAGTGGTAATATTGATTTACACACTTTAGCGTCTTAAATTCTCCAAAAACGCTCTGTCTAATAGTGGTCTTTTGTAATGTTGCCGAACGTTTTAACTAAGAAAACAGTGACGCATCTATCCAGCTCCCTGACCAATCAGGGTGACCGATAAGACAGGGGGGCGGAGTTTGATCGATGCGTCACTATTTTCCTAACGCGAATGAACTATAATTATGGTTAAACATACCATCGTTAAGAAATTATGGGCTAACCTCTGTCATATCAAGCTATAGGTCATTCCTAGCAAAGGTATAGTTTATTAAAAACAACTCTGTGAAATTCTGTATAGTTAAGATGCTTTTCTAAGTCGAGCATATAAATACGTGCCCTCTAACTCCTTTAATTTATCAAAGATACCTACAAATACTAAAGATTTCTGAACGTATCTCAAAGTTTAGAACTTAAAAATATTGTATAAATGTAATAATTATGTTCCTTTTCATACATATCCGTGTGCTCGTCTGCTCTATCATAAAAAAAACAAATGTAGTTATTATAATTTTCGTCTTGTTTGTGTCTTCAAGTAACATCTTAGATAAACGCTTATTCTATTAACGAATAAAAAAAGACGTTTTTATAGCTTTATTTACAACTACAAATAAATATCCCGCTTGTGCGAGCGTACACCTAGTCTTGTTTACATTTTTAGGGTTCCGTACCTCAAAGGGAAAAAACGGAACTCTTATAGGGTCACTTTGTTGTCCGTCTGACCCTTTATCTTGGGAACGCGTGGAGGTATCGAGTTGAAATTAAAACCATGTAATTAGGTCTACGATCTTACTCTTACTCGGTAAGTTAACGAAACAAAAGTTACGGTCATTTATGTCGCAAAAAAACGCATATTTCGACACTCAAGGGAATCAAAATTCATAGGGTACTTTCTGTTGACCTATAACTCTGATATTCAGCAAGTAACATCGTTTCATAGTACAGGGAAAATTCTGAAAACTATACATTTGTAAATAATTCTTAAAAATATAGTCTTTATTTTAAGTACGTAATCTTATAAAACTCAAGAATATAAGTAATTATAGGTTTTGGAAACGGAATTTCGGGCAGTTTGGAAAAACTGCAAGATTCGATTCCTGAACTATTTATGTGTGGTGATAAGCGAGTCCGGTTCGTACTAAAATTATCCGGCTTTTTAAAAATAAGACTTCTACAACAAAAACAAACTAATGGAATACTTAAAATGCTAATAAAATACAATTTAAAAACGATTAAATTATAATTATTACATTTAATAGTATTAATCAATGAATTCTCGTCTTTTGTCACAAAACATTTGATTTAAGAAACCTAATTACTTTACGAGTTATGAATATAAATGTGCTTTAAATTATAAATGTACGTATTAAGCAAATTTTTAATCATAAAAAAATATGAAATCTATTCAGAGTTTGTCTGAATAGAACTGATTCAATTCAATTCTTTAACTTTTTTAAGTGAATGGCATTGGTGAACAGATTTGTCAGGAAGCATCAGAATTCGCCAAACTTTCATTATTCTTTTCCAGTTATACTCATTCGCGACATGACTGTACTTTTCTTTTGAGGTCCAGGGTTCGTTTACCACCAAGAATACTCACTAAAATGAGGCTTATTTGAGCTTCTGACTACTGAAATTTGTGAAGGTGTAAGGAAACTACGAAGCAACACGGGTCGGACCGAGCTCATTCTTAACACTGAAAATAAAACTTTAAATTTATTCATTAAATCTGGCTATCTTATTTTCTATTAATATTTTTTAGGTAAATAGATTGATTTCAGAAGTGATGTTATAAGTTTAAAGTATTTTTATGGCTCATCGGAGGGCCCAAAATGATGTACCGATTTTAATTAAATTCTTGTCAAAAGGCGATTTGATCGAGAAAGTCCTTAGCTATAAATCCAAAAAAAAAAAAAATATAACCGCAAAAAAAATTGAGTTGGGGGTATTTTTAAATTTTAAAATAAACTTGTAACTCAAATAAGTGAGAGTATCATTGAATAGAGTTCTATACAATAAGAAAGAAGTAATGTTTACGAGTATATTTAAATTTAAACAGGAGCTCGTGCAGTAGATAACCTTAAGTGCTTCTGATATCAAGAAGTTCAATACTTGGCGGGGGCAAGATCATCTGTCATTTGAAACTCGTCGTTGGCCACGGAATGACGTAATAGCGTTAACTAAATTTTATGAGTTACAGAGTTAGACTGGCATATTGTATTTTAAGCCAGTCATATAAAAAGCAAGCCAATGCATTTTTGCATCACACCAATGCAATGCGTCACACCTATGTATTTTTTTTTTTCTTTTTTTTTAAAAAGACAACTCCCGCACTAGGAATAAATCCTGTGTCGCGGGGGACTTTACAAACATACATGAAACGGACACAAAGTACACCCAGACTCAGAACAACAATTTGTGGATCACACAAAGTGTTATCCCATGTGGGGTTTGAACCCACAACACTCAGCGCAATAGACAGTGGCGTGGCGACCGCTTAAACCACTACGCCATCCGTGCAGTCACTACGCCATCCGTGCAGTCAATAAATATTCTACTCTTACTCAAATACGTCACTATATAATCAAATGTATCTTCTTTGAAACCCTGTGTAAATGAACATACAACACATAAAGCGAGTTTGAGCTCTTTTTTTATGGTATAAGGGGTCAAACGAGCAGACAGGTCACCTGATGATAAGCAAATACCGCCGCCCATGGACACCTGCAACTCAAAAGTCACAAGTGCGTTGCTGCCCTTGGGAGTCCCTCGCGCTTTAGTCAGCGGGAGGGGGATTTGGGCTCTGGTAAACTCACTCACTCAGTGAAAGGCAACGAAAGAATTGCTTAACATCGGTTTTCTGTGAGGCCGTGGTATCACTCCGGTCGAGCTGGCCCATTTGTGCCGAAGCATGGCTCTCCCAAATACTTAAGCCTATAGTGACTTGAAGGAAATTTCCTCATAACTAATAAGTAAACTTAATAAATCTCCAATAAGAGAATCTTCCTCAGAATTACTTCCTATGTAAACACTCTAAGAATCCAATTGATTGATTATATAATAACGGTGATATAACTTGTTAGTACAAGAATACCAGTTCCGCGAAAAAAGAGACATTTATTTTGTACTGTAAAGCGCTGCCTTAGTGTGTTCGATTCCCGGACCAGGCAAAATTTCATAGGGTTTTTATGAGAGAAAAAATATCCTAATTTACTCCTTATATAGACAGCTACTCGCTAGTAAACTATTATCAAAATCGGTCCAGCCGTTTTGAAGATTACCCGGAACAAACAGACAAAAAATATTTAAACTGGTTTTATATGCCTACATATGTATTGTGCAAATAACCATGTAAGCATAAAAAAAAACCTATTATTTTGACATTACAAACAGACACTTATACATTTTTACTTTTACTTATTTATTTGTATAGATTTTATCAAATACACAAGATATTCTAGAAGAGAAAACGTTATATTAAACTTGAATACTTCAGCATGAGCCAAAAATTGTCGTTATCATAACATTGTGCTTCTTACGTAAATATCATCATTATTCCGAGATTATTGTGTATTTATACGAATAAATACACAATAATCTCGGAATAATGATGATATTTACGTAAGAAGTACGTAACATGTATTTTATAAATAGGCTAGTCAAAAAATAATGTCTTTGTGTCATGTTGAGCGGTAACTAAACGATTTGGTTAACAATAAACATTACATAGCCTTTACATTTACATTACATAGACTTTTTCTCACGTGCTATTACGTATTTCTACTCATTTATTTAATTTAATGCACAAGTTGTACACAGACGGACTTAATGCCCAAGGCATTCTCTGCACGTCGACCTTCGGGTGATGTAGAAAAATGATGCTGTACGTGCAAGAGAAAACAGAGAATTTGTCTTTTTTATATTCAATTTATTAATTTAAGATAAATCTAACTTACTTATATACACTATATACTATACTATATATTCATTACTGCAAATATACATAGAGGTCTCGAGTATACACATACAATACATGAACATACACATACTCATCGTCTTATGTGATGATGAAATTTAAATACATAACCTAAACATTTAACATTCTGGTTTTTGTTGAACCCACTTAAATGTTAAATTTAAAAGCCTTTATCGTTTGTCATCTTGGAATCAACAACTTAAACATTTTTAATCCTTTTTATTTTTTTCTGTGCGAAAATCCCCTCGGTTACCACCGGGCCGGACTCGAACCGATTAAAACCGCAAGCCGTCTCGGGTACCAGTAGCCGGGGAACCAGGTGTACCCTAGAAAGGTTATCCCTGGTAGACTTAATGTTAATCCTGCCTCAAGACGTTTGTCTCTATCTTGAAATTTCTTTTTTGTTCCATAACTGAACATGCCAAAGAATATTTTAAATAAACAAATAGAAAAGAAAGATGGCCGTGTATTATTGAATAGTATTTTCTTTTTACAGGCTGTAGCAGAATGGTGCGAACAACACGAAATCGACTTGGTCGTCGTTGGGCCAGAAGATCCTCTTGCCAACGGTATTGTCGACGCTCTCACACCTTTGGGCATCCAATGCTTCGGTCCTACCAAAGCTGGAGCCCAAATAGAGGCCAGCAAGGATTGGTCAAAAACATTCATGAACAAATATCAGATACCCACAGCAAGGTACAAGTCATTTACGGATGCTGCTGCAGCTAAGGAATTTATTAACACGTGAGTTTTGATTGTCTATACATAGGTATATAGAAATAATGAAATATACAAATAGTAGCTACATAGAAGGAAGGGATAGGAGAGATCATCATCAACATCATCAACACCCCATTATAGTCCACTGCTGGACATAGGCCTCTTCCTAGGAAGGAGGTTTTAACCGACTATACCACGCTGGCCAGACAGGTTGGTACAGTTTTCCTTGTCTTTGCAGTGCTGTTGTCCTGCAGAGTTTGCTCCCTTAGTCGACACTTACGACAGCCACAGGATGAATAGGAGTGGTTACACTCCGTATTCGGTCACCACGGACCACTATTCCTCACCACGGATAGGGAATTATACCTAATATACACACAAATTTGACACAGATAGATTTTGTTATCCCAGAAAAAATGATTTGCAAGATCAAAATTAACGAAGCCACAGGCAAACAATAGCATTTTCATGAAAAATAGATAATGTTTTCATATAACTTTTAATTTATAATTGTGTCAATGTCGCGAGACATCTGCATCTTTTATACGAGTATTGTTTATGTGCACTTTGTATGCTTTTGATAAGTATTTATAGTTTTATTCTCATTATCACACGAGTCGTATAACATATAATTTATAGAACATTTTGTATTAATGAACGACTCTTTTAAAATCTTTCCAATAAGGGTATTACACCTAGAAATTTTACTAATTAATAAACTTCAAGTGACAAAGTTTTTTAACCGATAAATCTTTCAATGTCTACGTTTTAGGCTTTTGCGCATAAATTGATAAATGCACAAAACGCCAAAATGATTTATAGGAGGCAATATAAAAGATAGGTAATTGCGCGCATTTCACTGAGCCACGTTCTCACAACTATATCTAAAACTTGAAATTATCTGTAAAAAAATATATATGTTTATTTTTTTAACAGCTAACAGTTCTTACAATAATAATGTGTGTATTATAAGTTATAACAAACTAATATTTCGATTTAATTGCTGTTCTGACGGGATGCTTTAATGTTTGTGAAGGATGATTAACGTAGTGGTTTGTGAAGGAATAAAATTATCATAAACTAGTTTGGGTAAGAGACCCCTTTTCTAAAATGAACTGATAGCCAAATTACTGCACGCTTATCGACATGTTGAGTTTTCCTAAAATATTGGTCATTCTTATAACAAGTTGGTACACGTAACATAAGTAATACAGTATCTTGAAAGTTTCAAATGAGAACTTGTGTTAATCTATTGATTCGATTGATAGACGAGGTATAAAAATAGTTGATCCCCAAAATCAGTTTTCGATTCTAAAACCAATTTCGAGCCTAAGGGGAATTGGGAATCCCTGGCGTATAACTTTAAAATTAATAGTATAATTTATTATCTATAATTATAACCTGAAAGAAGACAAAGAAACATTCAGAACACCTCAAAATAAAAAAAAACATCACGAAAACACGCATAGTTTTAGAGTTTCATAAAAGTAAAGTTTGCGAGCGACCTGTCACGGTCTGACCGGTCGCGGGCAGCCGTTGGATGCGGCCAGCACAGGACCAGTATTGTGATAAACCTTGGGGGAGGCCTATGTCCACCAGTGAATATCTTTCGGCTGAGATGATGAAAGTTTGTAAAGAATGTGCAATAGTAGAAGCATATACGATACTTCTTATCTATACTAATATTATAAAGCTGAAGAGTTTGTTTGTTTCAACGCGCTAATCTCAGGAACTACTGGTCCGATTTGAAAAATTCTTTCAGTGTTAGATAGCCCATTTATCGAGGAAGGCTATAGGCTATATATCATCACGCTAAGAGCAATAGGAGCGGAGCACCAATGAAGAATGTTTCAAAAATGGAGAAAATTTATTACTATTGAGAGACGCAGACGAAGTTGCGCGGGTTAGCTAGTCTACAATAATATACTTGCAGATTGCTAATTAATGAAATGATTACTAAGAGAATAAGAAAACCTGGTACATATTTTCGTCTATTACATCAGGCTTTTCTTTAACTATATTTTTGAAATATTCTTTCATGCAAACAGGATGACTGACTCCAGTAGGAACAAAGATCGAACAACTACGGTGAATTTCCGTGCGTTTAGGCGATTCTGCCATACATATTATAGAAATCAAATATAGCTCACCTAGGACCCGTAATATTTTGTGGCCATGGTGCTTCCCTGTTTAAAATGGTGTATGCCTATTTTACTTCATTTTGTCTCCCGCTTTGCTAAGGAGCGAAGTGGATTTACTGTATTTCCAACTCCTCCAAATTTCTTCTGATTAATTTCGTTACGGGTTCCAAGACAGTTTAATTTCTTCCTGGGACTTCCCGAGTGTGATAACTCGGTGTTCGTGGATCCTGGTGTACAGAAGTTACAGTGGTGGGCGTGTGGGTGGGATTAGTCTCAATAAAAAAAGGAGCAAAATAATATGTTACCTATTTGAAATTGTATCTTTGTTTTTAGAGCTCCATTCCCAGCACTAGTGGTGAAAGCTTCAGGATTGGCAGCAGGCAAGGGCGTCGTAGTTGCGAGTAACAAAGAAGAGGCTTGTCAGGCGGTAGACGAGATCCTCGTGGACTCTAAACATGGATCAGCTGGTGAAACTGTTGTGATAGAAGAACTCTTGGAAGGGGATGAGGTTTCGGTAAGTTTATCTTAGACTTTGAACAAGTTATTTTGTGTCTTTTGTATTTCAGGGCTTATTCATTTAGGTAGTCACCTACCATCGAGCTGACCAGTCTGCTCATTTGCCCCCTTATCATCATCATGAATAATAGTCCACTGCTGGACATAGGCCTCGCCTTAGAAAGGAGATTTTGGCCTACTATACCACGCGGGCCAGACGGGTTGGTATAGGTTTGTGTCAAGTTTGCCTTCTCTTTGCAGTGCTGTTGTCCTGCTTAGTTTGCCCCCTATACAATAAAAAAATACATTTGACAAATGTTAAATATTCAGTGTTTTTCTTGTACATTTTTATGTAATTTAACAAGTGCGTGGCCAAAAGTATTACGTTCTTGCTAAATATTTCGTCACCCAACTTGTCATTACACAAGACATCACCTAATATACATAACATAGATATGGAATACCGTCTGATCTAGGCTGAGCCTGTACTATGTTAACCAACCTGCTGATAAACATACTTATGTATTTCCAAAAACATACATATTATCTATATATATAAATGTTTTTCTCGTTAGTTTTGTTCCTTATTTATCATCAAAGCAATCGCAAAGTGTAATAATAATAGTATTCTACCATATGCAATTAACGCCATCTAGTTCCAAACTAAGCAGAGCTTGTACTATGGCTACTCGACAACTGATATAAAAACATATACACTTTTTTTGTATATACATACATATTGTACACAGACCCAGACCAAATCAAACATTAAATGTTCATGCACAAAAATGTTTGACTTGAGCGGGAATTGAAACAGCGGTCTTTGGAATGGCAGTCCGTTACACAAATGACTACGCTATCCGATATCCAGTCAAAGTAAAGCGTAGCAGGGTGCAAGCTATATATAGATAAACTCCGTAAACCCAGACACAGAACAAATTATCATGCTCATAACACAATTGTTTGCCCTGATTCTCTAGATCGAATCTTAGCAGGAAGAATCTAGTCCAACAAGAAAGTCTGCAGTCAGTCAAAATTTAGTTCAAATGTATTTAAAACGCGAAAACAGTATACTGACATTCGCATATATAATATTAATTAGAATGTCAAGCAGAGGTCAATATATAAAGACAATAATATGTTTTTAAGAGACCAACTGACAGTTTTGATAAGGCGATGGTAATTTGTTATTTTTGTTAATTGTACCGAAATTGTTTATCCGTCACGCTGTATGGGTCATGTCATACCCTTGAAATATACACGGCGTGATGTTTTGTTTATGATGATGAAACTTTAAAAGTATGTAACGAAAAATGAACAAAAGCTTTGAATGTTAGGAGAACAATGGACACAAATGGGCAGACCGACTGATCGACCGACTGACTGATCGACCGACTGACTGAAAACCATACGATGTTCCACACTGCTATTGAAATGGGAGGACTGTTGGTGCTGTAGTGGTATATCTTCAACGGTACACCCACCCAAAGCCCGCGGGTGGGACGCGAGCTCTGTCTAATATATAGGTGATGTTTAGACGTACAAGGACATTATCCTTCCGTATATAAACCACCCTAATTTAATTACCCAATAGTTCGGGTATGTTGTTTCGTTGGGGCCAGCGCAGACCGAGATACTCGAAAATAGACTAAAACTATTGCCATATAGTGCATACATGTTGGAACATGACTAAACGTGCTGCCTTAATGTTCGAGTTTGATATCTATATACCTTCAATAATTAATATTGCTTTTTCCAGGTCCTAGCTTTCACTGACGGTGAGACAGTATCGATGATGCCCCCAGCACAAGATCACAAACGGGTTGGAGACGGTGACACTGGACCCAACACCGGCGGCATGGGCGCATACTGTCCCTGCCCACTCATCACACCAGATCAGTTACTAGATGTTAAAGAGCAGGTGCTACAGAGGGCAGTGGATGGACTGAAAGCTGAGGGTATCAAATACGTTGGTAAGTTGGACAATGATATTAAATTAATATTTAAGTACTAGCTTTTGCCCGCGGCTAAAAAATAGCATATGTTTTTCCTCAAGGATCAAATTATCTCAATACCAAATTTCATTTAAATTAGTTCAGCGGTTCTTGATTCCCTTATATAAACTTCCACCCCCTTAATGTATGATTTCTGGGATAAAAACTACCCTATGTCTTTTCCCGGGACTCGGACTATCTCAATCCGAAATTTCATTTAAATTGGTTTAGCGGTTTAAGCGTGAAGAGGTAACAGACAGACACACATTCGCATTTATAATATTAGTATGGATTAGTCAAGAAAAAGTCTTGCTTCGGTATATTTGGACTGGACCGGCATACCAAGGCATCACAGAAAACCAGCGTGTATCAATTCTTTCATATCTTTTCACTGAGTAAGTGAAGTAACCGGAGTCTTATTCTGAGGGCCAAGTGCGTGTTTATTTAACTTCTACTCGATCGTCATGGTGATCGCATTCGGCGCTACGATTGGCCCGCACTGAAATCTCCACCAATCGCAACGCTAAACGCGCTCGCCGTCGATAGCGAGTCGATGTGAAATAAAGTTGCACTCGACCCTCTGGTCGAAGGGGCGCTCTCGAAAGCCGACAACGCACTGATCACTCTTCAGATGCAGTGTAGTTGTCCATTAACAATGAAAGTAACTTACCATCAGGTGACCGGTCTCCTCATTTGTTCCCTATTCTAAAAAAAATGAGGAGTAACCCCATCCCTCCCCATAATTCTGGGGAAAGGGGTGTCAATTTGCAAGTGTCCATAGGTAGAGGTGATTACTTGCTGTCTGCTCGTTTTGCTCTTATTAAAAAAAAAAGGATTGTCCAAGCATTAGAATGATTTTCACTATTTTTAATATCCACAGTATTCTACAATTTCTTTAAACTATATTTAGTAGAAACAATCTGTCTGGAAATTTCTTCTGTTTGTGTTGTCTTTGCGGTCCTTAATGTCACTGTCCACGTGATGTATACAAGGACAGGACAGACTTAAAGGTACTTGACCTTGATCTCTTTGAGCTATTTCTATCTCAGTCCCGTCTCCCCTACCCTATCATTATCGCTCTATCCGTTTTTGTAAACCCATCATCATCATAATCTCAGCCAAAGCACGTCACCGCTGAACATAGGTCTCCTCCAACGACCCGTACCCAACGGCTTCCCGCAACCTTCACCAGGTCGTCGGACCATCTTGTTAAGGGCCTACCCACGCTACGTTTGCCGAAACGGGGTCGCCACTCGAAAACTTTATGGCCCTATCGGCCATCGTTTCTGCGAGCAATGTGCACTGCCTGCTGCCACTTAACTTTGGCAAGTTTTGTAACCAGTTTACCAATTTGGTTTTAGTACTATACGGTTTCATTCTCAAGGATGGTTGTCATGCAGCAGCCAGTCAATGTTACACGTAACGACCGCAAATAAAATAAGAAATGAACAGTGATAATTATGATGACTGACCTTACCTCCGAAAATAACTTAACAAATTTCCTTTCTTTAACCGAAAGTAAAGATGAAGCAAATATTTGATTTGAATGAGGAAAGTTTTAATTATCATTATTTATACAAAAAACTGATGAATGAATGGAAATGTCTCGTTATATTGCATACTTTTGTTATTATTTGCCAACATTGGTGACCTTATAACCACCGTTATCGCAAAATATTCGATTAATTCCTTTATTTTTCAACTTTTACACAATACATCATTTAACTATCGTAATGTATCGCTGTCGGAAATTTCCTCTCACTCTGCCGTTGGTTTCAAATTCAAGGACAAACTCAACAAGATAAGATGAATTTAGAAGTTCATTGCGAAGATTACAAGTTCATCGATTAAAGAATATTAACTTAGGACTTAAATTTTATTAGTTTGGTAGATACATATCTTTACACTAGCTGACCCTGCAAACGTTGTTTTGCTATTTACATTATTAAATATATATATATTTTTTTAATTTCGTAAAATCCGTTCTTAGCTGACCTCTACTCGGTGAAAAGAATATTCCTACCAAATTTCAAGTCTTTAGCTCTAATGGTTCCAGAGATATCGTGATGAGTGACTATATACGTGGAAATCTCTTATATATATATAAGTCGCTTTTCGCACCTGTACGCTTAGATCTTTTAAACTAGACAACTGATTTTATGTCATGTGTATGTCTATGTTATGTCATCGTAGAATAATGCCGGTTTTGAAAAAAATACGAAATTCAGTCATTACCATATTTGTCTAAATATTATTACTACATTCAAGAAAAAATTATATGTATTTTAGGTTTAACTTATTCAGTCGGTAAACTGACGGAGTTGATAGGCACACAAAGTAAAATAAAGCAAGTGATTATTCAAAAAATTGTGTAATTATTATTGCATTTTAAAACTAACCCTATTTTTCACGTATGCCAATTTTCGTAATTGCAGATTTAGAATTAAAAAAGTTATGAAAAAAAAAACTAAAAAACCAACATTAAATATTCAATATCCGTATTAAGGTTGTCTGTAAGAGATCGCCGTGAGCGATAAAACAGCCGATTGTTACGTCTATATTATTTGTTACTAATTTATGTGTTAACTGTATACAATAAATAAATAAATAATTATTTGAAATGGCTGGCCTGTGAAGTTCGATAAATGTCAGATTTGACACTATTCTACGACTATGACGAATTGCTTGACGTTTCGTCGCTGCCCTTTGGCGCGCTGCGATTGGCCCGCACGAAAATCTGCATCAATCCTAACGCCAAACGCCTTCGCTATCGAGAGCGAGTTGATGTGAAATAAACTCGCACTTGGCCCTCGGATCTCTACTAACTGTCGTAAACATTATTATATCTTCTGGAAAGTTAGTAATGATTTTAATCTGAAATTGTTCCTTAAAAAAGAGAATAAATTAAACCTGCTTATACAATTGTAACCTACCAGTAGCAGTAATTCACACCAAAACATAATTAGTCCAACTTACTAAGATACACTAACTCAAAGATATCCTGTCTCAAAAACGTCAACACATTTTTTTTAAAAGAAATTCTACAAATGTTACCTACCAGTAGCAGTCATTCACACCAAAACATAATTAGTCCAACTTACTAAGATACACTAACTCAAAGATATCCTATCTCAAAAATGTCAACACCTTTTTTCAATAGAAATTCTACAATTGTAACCTACCAGTAGCAGTCATTCACACCAAAACTTAATTAGTCCAACTTAGTAAGATACACTAACTTAAAATCCTATGTCAAAAACGTCAACACATTTTTTCTAATATAAATTCTACAAAGATTACCTACTAGTAGCAGTCATTCACACCAAAACTTAATTAGTCCAACTTCCTAAGATACAGTAACTCCAAGATATCCTATCTCAAAAACGTCAACACATTTTTCTAATAGAAATTCTACAAATGTGACCTACTAGTAGCAGTCATTCACACCAAAACTTAATTAGTCCAACTTACTAAGTTACACTAACTCAAAATCCTATGTCAAAAACGTCAACACATTTTTTCTAATATAAATTCTACAAATATTACCTACCAGTAGCAGTCATTCACACCAAAACTTAATTAGTCCAACTTCCTAAGATACAGTAACTCCAAGACATCCTATCTCAAAAACGTCAACACATTTTTTCTAATAGAAATTCTACAAATGTTACCTACCAGTAGCAGTCATTCACACCAAAACTTAATTAGTCCAACTTCCTAAGATACAGTAACTCCAAGATATCCTATCTCAAAAACGTCAACACATTTTTTTTCTAATAGAAATTCTACAAATGTTACCTACCAGTAGCAGTCATTCACACCAAAACATAATTAGTCCAACATACTCAGATACACTAACTCAAAGATATCCTATCTCAAAAACGTCTAAACATTTTTTTGTTCTTTTAGTAAATAATAAATTGAGTAGGTGGTTATTATTAAGAACTTATAGACGTCCTAAATAATACATAAAAGGTCACATTAGATTGTGTGTTTATAGACACATTACAGTAAATTCTTTGGACTTTTATATCTGTACGATAAGTTGTGTACAGACACGCTGACATTTTGTACTAATAAATTATCTGAATCATACGCTTCTTCGGAATTAATCTAGAGCTTTCTTATTGCGTGCTTTCGAATAATATAACATTATTAACATGATAGGTAAACGTTCAAACAATGGTTAACAATTTAGTTTAAGCAAGGGCATTCGTCCTTTGCTCAATATTAAAGAATATAATAATATTCTTCTTCATATACTAGCTGCAGAACCGACAAACGTTGGAAAAAACGAGTCACAGCCACAGGCCTGGTGGAGTGACGATTTGCGCAAGATTTCTGGCAGGAGCTGGATGCAAGAAGCCCAAAATTGATCTAAATGGCGTGCAATGGGAGAGGCCTATGCCCAGCTGTAGACTGCGATAGGCTGATGATGATATAATAATATTAATTAAGGTTAAATAATGAAGAACTAAACAGTATAAGACTCTGTGAGTGGGCGAGTCGGTGCGAGTAGACCCCTAAAGACATACTGATCGGCAGTACGCTAAAGGAGAACCTCGTGAAAAGAACTGGTAACCGTCTCCAGAACTCATTCACCTTGAGAAGTGTGATTTTAACCGTTAGCCACATCCTACACGTAGAGAACAAGACGAATTTGTAGTATGTGGGCTGCCTAGTTAATACGAACGTAACTTTTTTCACCATCTCATTACCGAGTAAGATAGTAGCCGACATCCTAGGTTTTACGTTTATTGAATGGGGACCAAACGAGCAGACGGGTTACGGTCCTGGTAAGTGACTACCGCTGCCTATGGACACATGTAACTCAACAACATTGCCACCCTTTGTAGAAAACGAGAAATCCCTTCGCCTAGAATATGGTCTATTGGCGACTCCCACATACAAACAAATAGAAACATACTATAGCGCCATCTAACAAAGACACACCGAAGTACGGAGTAACTGCTGAATGAGAATTGTTAATCCTGTATCGCGATGTGAAGAATTCTCACGCTGCTTAGCATATATACTACTTCCCAACATCAACCGGTGAGCCGCGGCCCGCCAGGCATGATCACCTCGCCTGGACGGAGGATCCTCCCTTTGTGTTGGAGGGACATGACACTCGTTCCTCCACAGTCTTGGTGTGCTCCGTTGACCACGGTTGAAGCACGGTACTTCCACGACTAAATCCGGCGGTATCTCGGGTTCGATTCCCTGGTCGCACCTAATGTTTGTATGTGCTGCAAATATTTGTTTCGGAGTTTGGGTGTTTTCTATTTATAATATATTAATATATATTTACAAAAAAGTGTATAAGTTTTCTATCAGTCAATCTAGTTTTCATAGTACAAGTTCTGCTTAGTTTGAAACTAGATGGCGTTGTGTTTGTTATCTGTTAATCGCAGACATCCTACCATATTACTAAAGTGGAAGTGTAGTTTTGATGCGCATTATACATCATCATCACCGAATTTAATACGACGACTTTAATAGACCAGGGCTGAACATAGGGCTCTCATTAGAAAGGAGGTTTTGGGCTACTATACCACGCTGGCCAGACGGGTTATGTCACGCTTTCCTTCTCTTTGCAGTGCTGTTGCCCTGCGTAGTTTACTCTCTTAGTCGGCTCTTACGACATCCACGTGACGACACTGCGTATTCTTAATCCGTCACCACACGGACTAACATACAATACTATACGTATACAATTATGTAAAAAAGTACTAAAGAAAATTAAACAGGAGTTTGTAGTTCACACAGTTATATTGTCATATTGTTAAGAATAGAATTTTATGTGAGACCCGAGGCTTTTGTTATTCTTGAACTCAAAGAATCTAATTATCATAAGCACAGTTATCCTGATCATCTGGCGAAAATATCTATTTCAGTTTAAAAACATAGTCGACAGTGTACACGTTACTATAAAAAATGTCGCCGATGTCAAATATTCGTGTTTGAAACCAAATAATAAAGAAGAAACGTGACCGACACGCGGGCTTAATTTACTAATATATGAGGTTTACCAGTCTTGATAATCTAGTACGTTGCTAAGTTTAATAGTCTATATCTATACTCTATACAAATAAATAAAATTGGAGTGTTTGTTTGTAATATTAAAATAACCGCTTTTTACTAAATGCATATGTATGTTTACACGGAACATATGCCAAAATAACATTTTTTACAATTTTTGTCTGTCTGTCTGTTTGTTCTGGGTAATCTCTGGAACTGCTGGACCGATTTCGACGGGACTTTCACTGGCAGATAGCTGATGACATAAGGAGTAACTTAGGCTACTTTTTTTAGACTAGCTTCGCCCCGCGGCGTTGCCCGCGGTTATAACAACAAACACGGGTAACACCGCGGGTCTCAGCTAGTAACAAATATAATGATGAAAGTAATTTAGTATTTCACACGCAGAGCGACAGACAAACAAATTAAAAAATAGTTATATTTCTGACGTTACTACTCAAGCCAACCGTAGTATTACGTCTATCTGTGACATCTGACCCATCATTGTTTATAACAGCAGCCGCAAGATAATACCCAATAAACATCTAAATGAACACTAAAATAAAATCATCTTGCGATAATAAGCTTTGTCGTTACGCAGATGAGGTCAATTTTTAATTGGAGGTAAAATAAAGCAATTGTTTTTAGTATTGCGTTTGTTTGTTTGAATGTTTTGCAGTTGCTAAGACGTTCCGTACTAGATTGTTTATTGTATTTTCTGAGAATTGATTTCTATGTACGTATGTATTAAATTCATAACACATTACGTCATAGTGTGTCTGGTCACATGTTTGATCGTGTGCAACCCACAGTTTGTAATACAGCATGTTACTTTCAATATACTGATTACTGTATCCATATATAGTAAACTGTCGCATTTTAATAAATTGCTTTTTGTCCACAAGGGCCAAGCCTACTACTATCCGCGGTGAACTTTTAAGAATTTTTGATCAACAAACAAAATAATTTATTTTATGGTTTAACAAAAAACACATTTTTGGAGATACACTCTGGATGGAGATGAACATGCGACACTGTTACCGTTACCAACACCTCTGTATATAAGTATATAAGTTTTCACTTCTGTCAACATTCCCGGAGTGCCATTATTGTTTTTTCTTATAGCAAAGGAGAGCAAACGAGAGCAAACACTTGATGGTAAGGATTGTTTAGTAGTGGGTTAGAAACAGAATGTACTTAAAGTCTATATTAGTATTGTTGGTAAGGACACTTATAGTAGAAAGGTATTCATCTACGCGTTCCTATTGCCATTTCCACCTAGTGTATTTGTCTTCCTATACAAAGGCACTGGATGGAAATGCCATAGTCTGGCCTACTAGCCATCATTTTTATGAAAACCGTCTGTGCGCGATTCAGCAAACATGCCCGATGCACTATAATACCGCGGCAGCCGCAACAGCATCCTGAAGACGTTGTTATATTGTACGCTGAGAACGTTTTAGGCTCGGCTTCTGTATGACACCCACAGGCCGCTCGAATAGAAGTACTGACAGAACGCTCCAACGAAAGAATTACTTAACACTGGTTTTCTGTGATGCCGTGGTATCACTCCCACGTTAAAAGTATTAATGGAAGAAGAAAAAGCAATGAAAGGAATATTGCTTATGCAGTTACAGCCCTAAAAAGGATTATCTTTTAAGGAAACAAGTTTTCATAATAAGTTTTCATCTTGGATGGTTCATACGTCAATAGCATAAATTACCATTTAGTAAGTTTATCAGTTACGGAAGCCGCTCTTACATGAATTACAAGGTTATTCAACGCAGAGATTCGTGTAGATATTTGTTGTTTACTGGCGTGATTAAATATGATGCTCAAAATTCCAGAAGTATCTCAATTGGCACTATTTCAGTTGTTAGCTTTAAACACAAAATGAAACAGACGAAAAGATACCTTGATTAGAATGCGCCTCCAGCCTCCTCTTATACAAATACAAATAGTTACTCCTTGTACTACAACTATTTGTACTTGTGCACATATTCTATAGAAAAAAAACACGGATTAGGAATCAAACCCGCGAACACCGGCGCCGTGGCGGTTACGTAATAATAATAATAATATTCTACCACATTCACGCCATCTAGTCCCAAACTAAGCAGAGATTGTACGATAGGTACTAGACAACTAATTTAAATACAAATACACTTTTTTTTTTGTAAATATATACATATTATACATAGAACCACTCAGACCAAATCAAACATTAAACGTTCATGCACACAAATGTTTGACTTGAGCGGGAATCGAACCTGCGACCTTTAGAACAGCAGTCCGTTACACAAACCACTACGCCATCCGGTCGGCCAAAGATGAAGATACATGTCACTACCTCATCATTAACTTCTTGCCCTTTTCAACAAATTGCTTTGTGGGCGCCGAAATGATACTTCTTTTTCCTTTCTTCTCTATCGTTCGTCAGTTCACATCTAGCAATATGCTCCTCGAACCTAAGACGTTTTTGAAGTTGAAGCAACGTATTCAAAATTACCGCCGTGCCACACTGGAGAAGTTTAAATTACAGTAGTTGTATACATTAACTTTTTTATGTTTGCAGGTGTACTGTACGCTGGTATGATGGTGACAAAATCAGGCCCTGTGACACTGGAGTTCAATTGCCGGTTCGGTGACCCAGAGACTCAAGTGCTCCTGACTCTGTTGGAATCTGATCTCTATAAAATTATGAAGGTATGGTTTTATCTATCCCTTTATTAATCTTGGCTCCCATTAATATATTGGCAGATAGTGTGTGTGTGTGTGTGTGATATGTGTAGTTGTATTCAAACTTTTTGCTTAAAACAGTGAATTTATAGGACATGTACGATAACCTAATCACAAATTGGACCCTTAAAAATAAAGAGACCTTACTTAAGTTCTTGGTATTTTTGATTTATTCCTAAATTGGGTTATGAATACAGTCTCCAGTATATCTGTATAAGCAATATCCCTCAATTTTCTCATCAAACCTCTGAAGAGCCACAAACTACCCTAAATTGTTAAATAATATTTATATAAAGATCTGTAAGAGATCGCTGTGAACGATAGACCGCCGATTGTTACGACTACATGTTTGTAATTCATCTTTTTTGTTAACTTTTCAAGTTTATACATATTATGAAAAGAGAAATAAATAAAAATAGATAATAATAATAATCTACTTCATTCACACAACGCCATCTAGTCCCAAACTAAGCAGAGAGATACATATATACTTTTTTTTGTAAATAAATACATATTATACATAGAAACACCCAGACCAAATCAAACATTAAATGTTCATGCACACAAATGTTTGACTTGAGCGGGAATCGAACCCGCGACTTTTGGAATAGCAGTTCGTTACACAAACCACTACGCCATTCGGTTTTATATATATATATATCTCTAAATAAATAAATAGTTTGGGTTACGATGCTAGATTTAGATAATAGGCCTCCTTAATTAAGTACGTGGGACTAAAACTGCAGTTGAAAAAACGTGTTCAATAACCGTGACCGTGCTGGCGTGACCTAAAGAAAATACATTTTCCAGGCCTGCGTGAATGGTAACCTGAAACAAATACAAGTGATGTGGAATACGAAGCTCTCGGCTGTGGGTGTTGTCATTGCTTCCAAAGGCTATCCCGAAACCTCCACAAAGGGCTGCGTCATCAGCGGTAAGTGAGAAACCGCTTAGATATAATAAAAAGTGTGTGTCAGCTCCGACGCACTTTTCGAGTTTACTCGTTAACAACTATTCGGTTGCACACAAGTATACAAGTTATACACACACATGTGAAAGGTGCGCACGATAGGTTGCTTGTTGAAAAATCGTAACGAGGTCATTCGACCACTAAATTTTACTCTTCATATTTTTTTCATATCGGGCTCCTTACGTGACAATCGATTCTCAAACAAACGAAACTTCAAAACGAAAAAAGTGAATTATTAAACGTTACATTCCATAATATATAATTATTTCTAACGAAGAGAGTTAACGCGAATAATACCAGTGGGTATCGCAACGCCAGGTAATCGAAAAGATATCCATGTATCGTAACGTGTCGTGCGCGCAGGGCTGAGCCAGGCGGCGTCGACGCCGGGCACGCTGGTGTTCCACAGCGGCGTGTCGCGCGGCGCCAACGGCTCGCTGGTGACGTGGGGCGGGCGCGTGTTGCTGGTGTGCGCGCGCGCCGCCTCGCTGCGCGCCGCCGCCGCCGCCGCCACGCGCGCCGCCGCGCTCGTCGACTTCCCCGGCGCGCACTACCGCAAGGACATCGCGCACAGGGCCTTCTCCAAGTACGTGCACTCCACCCCCACCCCTCACACGACACCACACTGATACCACCATTTCGACGAGGTTTAAAACCATAGAGATATAAGCATAGAGAGAACGAGGAGTACAGCTGCCTGTAAGTGGAAGCGATACAGGCAAAGTGAGAGATGGATGCCCGATAGTTGCCTCTGTCTCTGTTTAGCTAAGCTGCGATTGGCTATCTTGAAGGTTTTGATCATAGAACAGTCGGGAGTTTATAAATTTCCCCAGCCAACCACAGAGCTCGACTAGAAAGAGATAGAGGCAAATATGTATTATCTCTCGTTGTCTATATTACAAGATTGTTCTTGTTCACTCTATGTTTATATTTCTTTGGGTAAAAGTAAACTATTAAGATTAAGAAGAATTCCCTGCAAAAAAAAAGGATTATACTTCGATTCATAAATAATGTCGAAAACTAAGTAAACCATCGAAACCAATCCTCCATTTTATTATCACATCTATAAATGCATGCTAACGAAGAGAATATCTTCCAGGTTTGTTTCGTTACAAATAATAATAAAAAATAACAATTTGGTGTAAAACGAGTTTTCCAAATATTCATACATTTGATAACTAATATATTGCATGTGATGGCGGCAAAAACTAACATACGTAAGTATATTTATGTAAAATGCATTTTGTTTTGTATTTTTAAAGAAAATCAGTTATATACATATTACGGTTACAAATAAAATAAAAGTTATGGAATTTGAGCATAAACATTACAGTAAACTGACTAAGTTGCATTTTAACATATTTCTATAAAATTGATCTTTACTAGACAAGGAATAGAATTTATATTCTATTGTGTCAGTTTAAGGAGTAACTATTTGTATCTCTCGACCCAAAAAGATAGTTTGTGTATGTATCTGTGTGTCTGTTCGAGCGATATAATCTTTTTTTATTGTTTGAAATAATTAAAAAAAATATGTTCAGCCGTTCAGAATTTGGATTCGGGATGTATTATTTTCATTAAAATTGTAATTAAAAAAATGCATAGACTACAGACACCGTTTAAAAGAATTCGGATCAAAGGGTAATTTTAAATAAAATTATACACAAATTCTATAGAAGAAATCTCAGCAATATTTTGTTTATTTTGTACATATTCCATCGTTGTAGTTATTGGTAGAAAAAGGGCTAAGCATCGTTAAAAGAAAAAACTTAGAATTATTGATGCACATTTTTTACAAATTAAGTCCGTGTCCGTGGGTGCTTGCATCCGTGTGTGCGTGCGTGCTTTCGTGCACGCATGTGTGTGGTACGTGTGAGTGTGGAGTGTAAAATTAAGGTGTTTTATACAAGTTCAAGATACAATATTGCATCAATGGCTCGATTTCAGGCCCTGAGGCCCAAGTGCGAGTTTATTTCACATCAAGTCGCTCGTCACGTTGACAGCGTTCGGCGTTGCTATTGGCCCGCACTGAAATCTCAACCAATCACAACGCTAAACGCGCTCGCCGTCGAGAGCGAGTAGATGTGGGCTCACTCACACTAAGGCCTCTGAATGTGTGGATTGAAACCATTCATTTTGTTTCAGCATGTAACCGGCTCGATATGGGTATAAAACTACATTACACTAATGGATCTTTTGCATTTCTCTTAGCACGCATTTATGAGGGATAATAAGTAAGAATCATTGCATTTTAAACGTTGTTTTGTAATGAATAAACGCTTTTTTTAAGTTTTGTTTTGTTTTCATTCCACGCATTCTTCATTTAAATACACACTTTGTACATTTTGGTTATAGCATGTTTCATTGTCTTGCTGATTAGTATTTTGAATATGGTGATGTTTACATTATTTTATGCATATGTTATAGAATCTAGTAATATGATTAAAAACGGATCTGAACCCAATTTGAGTTTCGTTTCATTGGTTTTGTATGTTTGACGTCACTTTGTTTACACGTTCGTAAACTACACCTGTCGTCACAGAATAAGAAGTCAAAAATGGTCTCTATGCTTTGTTTACGGGGGACATATACTCGTACGCCTAATACACGTAAAAGTAATTATATGTGAGAATTTGTCTTCTGTTTTTGTTTTTATCTAGTTTTTCTAATTAAAATATTCATGACATTTACAGTTTCATTTTTTATTAGGGTTTGGGATACTTCATTAATAATATGAAAAATTTAAGAACAAAAAACCCTTTAATTTTTTGAATTTTATAATAGTATAAAGCCTAATAGTCAGGCCAAATTAAAAAAAAAAAGAACTGTTGGAACTCATATATTAAACGCTGTTTATTTGTTGACATACCTACCTGCCATTTAAATATTAACTACTACTAATTTACTACTTTTTGCACAATTATTTTTTATAAATTTTCATTTTTTTTTCATCTAAAAATACCATTTGTGGCCTCTGTTTCTAATTAATTATTTTTGTAATGTCCGTGTTGTAGTCTCCTATAATTGAGGAAGTTTATTTGTTGTAAAACTATGCATGTAAGGTCTATTTCTTGTTGCAGAATTAAATAAAATGAAAAAAAAAGAAATAAACTGATCCGCTATATATAATGTAAAGGACGGTGTAATGAAAGTAAATTCAGAATATTATACTCAGTTCAAAGTTTTTCTGGTTGAAAATTAGTAACGTAATGAGAAAATACATACTTCATTTTACTAAAAAACACGTACACGAAAAAATGCAATGTAATCCAAAGAAAAAATACCAAATTAACATTTTATGCAATCAGCTCGCTTTTTCGATGGAAATATCCACACGAAATTGCATTTATACATTGCATTGCACGGATGGCGTAGTGCTATTTAAGCGGTCACCTCGCCGTTTCCTTCTCCTTCCTTCCTTCTCTGCTCTGGGTGTTGTGGGTTCGATCCCCACATGCGACAATACTTTGTGTGTTCCACAAATTGTTGTTCTCAGTTCTCAGTCTCAGCCAGTTCATTGTTGTCCCCCGCTACACAGGATTTATTCCTAGTGAGGGAGTTGTCTCTTAGAAAAACAAAAAGTTTTTTTCTTTTTTTTTTTCTAAGAGACATTATTTCATCATTTTTCAATTTTACGATGACTCACATCGTCCTGCCTCTTAATGTCCTTTATATTATTGTTTAAAGTATGTAGGTAGAGGCATCGTAACCAGTAGTCGTAAAACAATATTTTAGGTTTAAATACAGAATAATATCTATAATAATAAAACTGTAAATGATGTAATATACAGTATGTAGGTATACTAATATTAATTAATTTTAATTATTAGTATTCCTATGTTGTATTTAAGAATGCACTTTAACATAACACATAAGAGCAGGAATTTGTATGAAAAGGTAATCCACAGTCATAGGCTTCACAAATCGAATCAAAGTATCCCGCATGTCTAAGTTCAGTGCCCGGATTAGAACTAAATTCACTAATAAAAGTGTACTAAATTTCTTTTACGTAACATATTTGTCATAATCATAAATATTTTTGTTCTCATTAATAATATAATGGGTGTTCTTTGTGTCCGTTGCATGTATGTTTGTAAAGTCCCTCGCGATACAGGATACATTCCTAATGCGGGAGTTATCTTCAAAAAAAAATTATAATGAATACTTCTGTGGCAAATCGGCGAACGCGCTCGATTGGCAACGATGACGATCCAGTAGATGAACTGACTCTGGACCCCCTGAATTACGTCCATTGAAAAGTGTTCACAATTCATTGGATGACCAAGATTTTCCATTTACACAGAATCAACGGCTTGTCCTATCTCCAATCTGGCGTAGACATCGACGCGGCTGCGACCCTTGTGCGTCAAATCGAACCTTTAGCCACTGCTACTCACAGACGGGGGGTGCTAGGACGTTTGGGGTGCTACAGTGGTCTGTTCCAGCTGTCGGCTATGAACCCCAACTTGAAGGATCCTGTGTTGGTGCAGGGGACGGACGGTGTTGGCACTAAACTCAAGGTAGGTATACCGAAATCGGAATAGGTGATCATTCCTTTTTTTACCCCACATCTTTGGAAAATATGGATATGATTGCTTGATGGTAAACGATATCCGTAGCCAATGGACGCTGGCAAATCTAGGGTGATGATATGCAAGCCCATGCGATACCCTCAGGAAAACCTCGAATATTACAATTCTTAAATGGTAAAATAATAGGGTAAAACAGATTTAGATTTCAAATTGAGAAGGATCTATACTATTAGTAACTACTACTAACTTACTAGTACTAAAACAGAGGACATCGAAAGGTACAAGTGTGTAACTGTCTGTTTTAGCTTCCAAGAGTGTTGCCAGATTTGCATTTAAAGAATTGGTAAAGTATAATACAAAGTTTTGAGAGTTTACATAAATAAGGTTTTCTAATAAACACATTAACGTCTTCTGCGTCCTTTTCTTACATTTATAAAAACTACGAAAAGAAAAGCGTCGTAAGTAACTTAACGTACTTGATTATTTTGTTATGTCATCATTTTATGATGCTCTAAGGAATATTGGATTTGCTTGAAGTTTTTAATTCTAGCAAAATGTTTTTCTGAAGAAAAGATATAGTGATTCCAAAAATAGATTCCCTGTATCTCTAATGAGCTTAGGCATCCTAATATTTTCACAGTCAAAAAAAAAATTTTTTTTCTGTATACATATGAATAATGCTTAAACTGTATACTTGTATTAATAAATATTATTTCGCATTTCAGATTGCAGAGATAATGAATAAATACGACACCCTAGGTCACGATCTGGTCGCTATGTGCGTGAACGATATTCTGTGCGCGGGCGCAGAACCGTTCGCGTTCCTTGACTACATGGCGTGCGGTCGGCTGCAGGTCGACGTGGCCACCACCATCGTCAAAGGCATCGCTGACGCGTGCAAGCTTTCTGGATGTGCCTTGTTAGGTAAATATATTACGTCCTAGTAGGTTTGGCTTACGAACCTGCACAGCTTTAGTTAGAAGACTGCCTGATGACGGCAGACTGGTCTACGTTATCATCATCATCAACAGCCTTTAATGGTCCACTGCTGGACATAGGCCTCTCCTTGGAAAGGAGGTTTTGGCCTTCGTTAGGCCTTGGAATATGGATATAAATGTATTTACATATGTGACTCTATTGACCTTTGACTTGGGTCATTAGGGACATCTCATCTCTGGTCGAGTATCTCCATTTTTTATATGATTACTGTTTGTATAGGTAACGAGGCCTCTGTACCAATAAAAAACATTTGAATTTAAGTATACTTTTGTCTGCTAAAATCAGTTCAATAGTTGCGCGCTCGCTCTATTATACTCCTATCTTTTTTTGCTCTTTATTTTGTGAGTAGTTTAAAATCGCGATGGTCTACATTATGTGAATCTATTTCTGGTATAGAATGGATTGCTTTGCGTGCACTTCCTTGATTTCCGAACATCCACGATAATGGCTATCCCGTTTTATGCATATGTTACTATACTATAGTCTGATCGGCAGAACCTCTGACCACCTTATTTCAGTGCACTACACGTTACCACTACACTATTACCTTCCGATAGTTGAACAGAATTGGTTTATATAAATTAAACCAGAAATTATTTCTCATAAACCACTATAATCCATTCGCGTTAAGAAAATAGTGACACATACATCAATCAAGCCCGCACCCTAACCAATCAGTTTCCAAGCTTTCGTACGAAACGATAATGTCTTGGAACCTGATTGGTCAGGGGGCGGGGCTTGATCGCTCTAACATCAGTCACTATTTTCTTAACGCAAATGGACTATAGATCAAGAGGTCAGTTTATATAACCATTTCTTGTCTTTGTAGGAGGTGAAACGGCAGAAATGCCTTCAATGTATGACATCGGCAAGTACGACTTGGCTGGGTTCGCGGTCGGTGTGGTCGACAACCTGAAGCAACTGCCCCGCTCTAAGGAGATTCGTCTCGGGGACGTCGTGTTGGCGCTACCCTCGACTGGAGTACACAGTAACGGTTACAGCTTGGTGCAGAAGATTATGTTGGAAACTGGTCATAGGTTTGTAGAGTTGTTAAATCTTAGATATCTTTTTCTATACTGTGTCTTTTAAGTTTTATGTTGTCTATGGTTTTGTAGGGTTAGAATTCATTTTACTAGTTTGTGCTTAAAGAGACTAGATTAAATAGATAGAAGTTTTTCTTCTAAGTTTTTGTAAATGTGTGAGTAAATTCAGTATACTAGCGTCAAAATTGTGTGAATGGATGTTGGTACTTCACTCATGTCACAACGGCTGAACAAATCTGGATGAAATTTGACACTAAAATAGCTTATAATGAGAAACAGTATATGATGACTTTTTAGCCCAGAAAATTTGATTTGCACAAACGACATAAACGCGAGCGAAGCCACGGGAGAAACGTAGTAATCTATATTAATATTCAATGAAATGGACTAAGAAATATTTTCTACTCGACTATATTCGACTTAAGTCTGCTAACGATTATTCCAGATACACAGAGCCAGCTCCCTTCAGCACTACGAACAAATCCTTCGGAGAAGAGTTCTTGGTTCCTACTGGCATCTACGTCAAAGACTTGATGCCAGCTATCAAGCATGACCTGATCAAGGGTCTAGCTCACATCACTGGAGGCGGGCTACTGGAGAACATTCCCAGGATCCTGCCGCCTGGTATCCGAGTTCGGCTTGACGCCACTAAGTTTAACATTAAACCTGTCTTTGGATGGCTACAGGCTAAAGGTGAGTGCATAATGATGCAAGCGCTTAATTATTTCACCGAATTGTCATAAGGAACTTGTGTAGTGTAAACGATGTGTAGTTACCTATTTATTTTATTTTTTTCTAATAAGCCACCACTGATAGCTGATATTATCAGAGCTGCAGCCGTTGGAATCACCAGAATCTCGTTCGGTCCGCTCATGTGTCTTCGGTCCCAATTTATAGCAAGCTGGCTCTTGGTCGAAAGACCAGTTCTGATAAATACCTTGCTATTCCGAGTCACCAAAAAAATTCTTGTACATTCGCTAATGCATAATAATATCCGTATAATAAACTGAATATTATTTAATGAAGTATAAAGTATGTTTCGTTCTAACTTTAGCTATTTCACATACAGAAGAATAATCAATTTTCAAAATCGTTTAAACGAATAGCAACTCATGCTTCGATAAAATAAAGTACAATTTAGGTAGCAGAGCGCTAATGACCTAAAATTATATACACCTAAAAATTGTCCTCGCTTTTATTACGTAACTTTGATCTCTAATGACCACGTTAGGATTGCTTTTTTTATAAAGAATTCTATATCTGAATATTTTATTACTAGTTATTTGTCTATACTAAACACCAGTATACTTTAGTTAAGTAATATATTTAGCGGTGAATAAACAAAGGAGTGATTACAGAGCCTACTCTATTGCCCAAATACTGCACGGATAACTTAGTGGTTTAAGCGGTCGCCACGACGCTTATGCCGAGTATTGTGGGTTCTCTCCCCACATGGGACGTCACTTTGTGTGAGCCGCAAATTGTCGCTCTGAATCTGGGTGTTCTTTGTGTCCGTTTAATGTATATTTGTAAAGTCCCCCGCGACACAGGATGTATTCCTAGTTCGGGAGTTGTCTTTTTAAAAAAGAAAAAAAAATTGCTTAATCCCACCGCGTACTTATAGCTTCATACCTTTAGTAGGTACATTATGGGTCTGGAATAGCTATACAATAATTGATATTAATTTATTTATCCCCAGGTGTGGTGTCAGACTTCGAAATGCTCCGAACATTCAACTGCGGTATAGGAATGATAGTGATCGTAGACCCGGTGTGCCTCAACGAGTTCTTGGGCACTGTCGAGGGCGAGATTACCGTCGTCGGCACTGTGGAGAATATTGGCAAAGAGGGTATGTACCTATCTGTTTTATAGAGTGTTTGTTTTTAAAGCCTTTAAAAAGATAATCCCCTAAACACAGCATAAACCACAACATTTATAGAAAGTGAAAGACAATGCAGTGCCGTCATATTTTACGTCAATAGGTTTTTTTTTATACTAATACTAGCTGACCCGCGCAACTTCGTCTGCGTCTCTCAATAGTAATAAATTTTCTCCGTTTTTGAAACATTCTTCATTGGTGCCCCGCTCCTATTGGTCTTAGCGTGATGATATATAGCCTATAGCCTTCCTCGATAAAATAAATAAAATAAATAAATGGGCTATCTAACACTGAAAGAATTTTTCAAATCGGACCAGTAGTTCCTGAGATTAGCGCGTTCAAACAAACAAACAAACTCTTCAGCTTTATGATATTAGTATAGATAATATAGCTGAAGTCTTTTGTTAATTCGGCATTTCTTATAAGAATTAGCTTTTTCTTTTTGTATTTGATAGATATAAAGTATCGGTCCGTAATATCGCTGTAAAACAACATCAATGTGAAACTGAAGGAAAGACTATTTCAATATACATTTATACGTTTTACCGGACATAAGTTATTTTATTTGTGTTTAACTGTGTTGTTAAAACCGTGTTCCGAGCTGCATTGTTTAACTTTGGAGCTTAATATCTGAGCGAAGGCCACTCCCACAGGCGGTCACCAGGTGGTGGTGGAGAAGTTCCCGGAGGCGATGGCGCCGCTGACGTCGCCCTACGTGAGCGCGGAACGGGAGGTCCCGCAGAAGTCTCTCTCGTACAAGGACAGCGGCGTCGACATCGAGGCTGGGGACTCCCTCGTGTCTTTGATTAAGCCTTTGGCTAGGTCAGTTCTGTATATTAATTTTGATATTTTAAAAATCTATGTTTTTTGAACATTACTTATCACTATATATGTACGTAATGTAAATAATGGTATTTAAGAATCGATGCGACCTTTATCAAACGTTCAAGAAAAGAGAGTACTCACCTTAAAGGTCTCACTTGTAACTCCTGACTTGCAGGTGTAATTTCATCACCATCTGTTGTTCTTTTTTTTTTTAAAAACTACTACCGCCCTAGGAATATGTCCTGTGTCGCTGAGGACTTTATAAACATTCATATCGTCACCTAATCTTAGAACAACCATTTGTGGGTCACGTGTGGAGATTGAACCCACAACAAACAGCTCAGTACGAAGTAACGGCTTAAACCAGTGTCGCTCTTCTTGGAGTCAATTCGTGCTCATGTGTTCTTTATATGGAAAAAAACCCAGCTACTCTGTGTTTCCGAATAATAAGATTATATATTATTATTGTAGGACGACGTCTCGGTCGGGTGTGCTGGGCGGTCTCGGCGGGTTCGGTGGCTGCTTCCAGCTGAAGGCAGTTGAAGGAGACTATAAGGTATACAATAATTTAGCACACAACCTGTTATATTACTGTTGTAGCGTTGAACAATAAAGAGATATAAGATATAACCCGTCACCGTCGCTGCAGGACCCCGTTCTGGTACTGGCCGCAGACGGCGTGGGAACGAAACTGAAGATAGCGCAGAAGATCAACCAGCACGGCACCATCGGCATCGACCTGGTGGCGATGTGCGTGAACGACATCCTGTGCAACGGCGCGGCTCCGCTGACGTTCCTGGACTACTTCGCGTGCGGCTCGCTCAACGTCAACGTGGCGCGCAACGTCGTGTCCGGCGTCGCCGAGGGATGCCGCCAGGCCTCCGCCGCGCTCATCGGTAACGAGACACACACCAGCTACTACTACACTAAATATAGTCCATCCACATCTGTACTAGACATGTACCAGTAATAGGCGGAAAGCCTATTGCCATTGTATAGGAACAAGAATAATAATAATATTCTACCACATTCACACGACGCCATCTAGTTCCAAACCGAGCAAAGCTTGTACTATAGGTACTAGACAACTGATATAAATACGTATTTTTTTTTTACAAATACACACCTTACACAGTTCACAGCATGAATTGTGTAAGTTTCCTACATCAAGAAATAAAATAATACATAAGTTAATTTGTTGAAACTATTTATTTTATTAAGCTAAAATCTAAGTTTATATTAAAATTATATGTATTCGTCTTACTGACACTCTTGTTAGGTCAACCAATCGTTTTTTTTTTTTTTTTTTTTTTTTTTTTTAAAGACAACAAAGTTATGCTAACTTTTAAACTTTCGCGTTCCATGATAATTAATATTATATAACGGGAATTAACGCGATCTCTTATTTAGGGTATTACATACCTCTGGTTTGCCTGACGTTTCGACCAGGTTGCACCGGCCGTGGTAATACCCTAAATAAGAGATCGCGTTAATTCCCGTTATATAATATTAATTAACAAAGTTATGTTTGTCAGGTGGTGAGACAGCAGAAATGCCCGGTATGTACGAGCCTGGTGTATATGACATCGCTGGATTTGCCCTCGGTGTTGTAGAAAGGTCACAGATTTTACCCAAGATTAACGATATTACGGTAAGTTTTAGTACATTTCTAAAAAGTATATCACATCAATCAACAACCTTTAATAGTCCACTGCTGGACATAGGCCTCTCATTAAAAAGGAGGTTTTGGCCTACTATACCATGCTGGGCAGTCGGCTTGGTGTAGGGTTTGTGTCAAGTTTTCCTTCTCTTTGCAGTGCTGTTGTCCTGCGTAGTTTGCTGCCTTAGTCGGCTCTTACGACACCCACGGGATGGATCCGTAATCTCGACACTCCGTGTATCACATATTTCGTATATCCGTCACAATAGTTTATCACTTACTATGAATTAGAATGTTTGTTTTTCCTGTGGCAAGCTAATGTTTTATGGTATCTCCAATGATAAGACGGACATACATGATCCTGTCATGTTGGAGTTACTGCAGTCTAAGTGCCGTTTCAGACTATTATGTTTTGTATGCAGGCTATAGGCGGAGATTAAAAGAAGTCGTGGTATATATTTTGTTTAATATTTATTGAAAAAAAAACAACTCACATTACAAATACAGAATACAGCGCAGTTTTGGTTAACCATCTTGTAGCAACGATCATTGTTGCAATCCTACCACAGATAAAAAATATGATTGTTGCCTACGTTCCGAAACACATAATATCTAATACAGACCTAACACTTATAATATCCCTTACACTAGACTCCTCGCCTTATCCTAGCCTCCCATTTACCTTTTTCTTTTGTCTCATAAGATTGTGGCTTCTGACAGGCGGCCGGCTATAAAAGAAACTAGCCAAAACCCATAGTAATGTTGCGTCGACCCATTATTGATAATGATTATATTTATTTAATTTTTATTCGATAGGTACAGTTACAGGCGACAGATCGTGCCTCACATAATAACAAGTAACAATGTACAATTTCAAATCTGAAGACCAATTAAAACTATACACATCATTCACAATCGCGGTAATAGAGCTTCAACTGGGTGTTAAACAAATGCAAAAACTAAACTTTGAAAAAATTTTGAAAAAAAGCGTGGGGTGCTTGTTACTATTGACAACATGCACCCAACGCTTTTTTCAAATTTATTTTCTATTTTTTAGTTTTGTTTTCTATAGAAAGCGTGTTTTTTAGTGTTTTTTAAAACTATATTTTCTTTTTTTTTCTTTTTATTAGTGTATTGTCATCGGTCCTCGATATATCTACAAAGTTTGAACGAATTCTGACCGTTTAAAGTCAGTCAAAATCACGCCCAAAGGAGTCGGTTACAAGCATACAAACAAACATACAAGTAAAGCTAATGTAAAGCGTGTAAAAAAAAGAACAAGAGATGCAGTAAATTGACTAATTAGTTACATCTACAATGTGTTACTATAATTTTACATTGATAGGTTCATATACTCGTATTTCAGTTTTATGCAAAAACACTCGATTACATTCATACTATCATTAAAAATATCTACTTAAAAACATGTATCATCCCACAGATCCACTCAAAGTTGCAATTTTTGTAAGCTAAGTATAAATTTATAACAAGGTAATTATTGAAAAACAAAAATTCGACTACATTAAAATGTAGAAGCATTTATAATGTACAAACCGGCAATTTTAATTTTTATAACGTTCATGTACCCAGTGTCATTCATTATAATAATAATAATAATATATCACTTTATTGTACACCAGATATAAATATACATACGAGTAATTACCTTAAACTATAGTCAAACCGCCGTAAGCTTGGTTTGGGGGACGCGGGGGCGGGGGTGCATTCAACCAATTGGCTAGTGCGTCGCTGTCCGCCGGCAGTGACTGACGTGAAAGCATGGCTGTACGTGTTATTTTTCTTAAGACTGCTACACACGGTATTATTTTGCAACATAGATAATCTGCCGACTCTGCGTCACAAAAAGATTTAAAAACTTGAAGTTCGGCTTACAGAGGCTCTACTGTTAAAGTTCTAATAAAGAATATTTATTATTTTACTTAATCTTTAAATTGTATCTGAATATAATTTACATGATGAAGATAAGGTGATTTTATTAAAATTATTTTACAGTAGATATTAAATTTTATACAATTAATCATAAAAACTTACAATACACTGACATTATAATACATGGAAATAAATTCGATTTTTATTACATCGTGTGTAGATTAAATCTCAAACAAATAAATCTGAAGATATCGGGTTAGTACATCGTGTCATGTATAGCCGAGCGCTTCACCCGCCCCGCGTCCTGCAAACCATCAAGAGGGCCAAGCTTACGGCGGTTTAACTATAGTTCAGTACAAGTGGTGGCCTTATCGCCCAGAGGCAATCTCTTACAGGCAACCGTGTATAATAAGATAATTAGAATTAGACTTAGATTAATAAGAGTGCCTACTAAATCGTGCATGTGGGCCTGTCGTTCAACACATCTGTTTGCCATACGATCATCACACACAAACGCAGGCCTGCGTGCACCTAGTCGTCGTATACTTTTACGTATACGTACCTTTTGTAAATAAATAAATAAATACTAAATTCTTACAACTGCAACTTTAGTCACATTGATAATTTTGAAAATAGTGTGAGCGTTTACAGAAACCTAGTAATGAGGGAACTGCATGACACTATGAACTAATATGTTTATAATACATAATATTGAGAAATGTACATATGTCTGAAATACTCTCAACCCGCTAAAAATAGTGTGTACATTATACTTGTGGTAAACGGTGTGGATATTGTATAACTTAAACACTATTATAACCATTTATTATTGTGACATTGTTTGTTTACCCTATAAACTGAAAATATTCTAGCCAAAATACATTTAGCCAATTCGACTACAGTAACTTATTTCTTTTAGTTCCGTGTGATAAAGGCAGAATTGAATAATTTACCACATAATAACGAAATACAACATGTTATCCACCAGGTCGGTGACACAATTATCGGTCTTCCATCCAACGGTGTGCACAGCAACGGGTTCAGTCTCATTCACAAGCTCATGAAGAAATTAAGACTTACACTTAACGACAGAGCGCCTTTCAGCAAAGAGGGGTTGACACTTGGTAAGGGTTTGATATTATTAAATTGTATAAAAAGTTGTCATTGTACAATAAGTCTTGTTAGACAAAATCATAACCTTCCAAATTGAAATAGGTTAAAACGGCAGTATATTTTACTAAATCGGTCTTACATTAAAAAACTAAGTTTTGAATTATGGTACTAATCTACAGGAACATCGCAGCAGTTGAGCGGGTTCTTTTTTTTTACAGTTTGTCTGGCAGACTTAAAACAGAGCAAATAAATATGAATTTTGTTGTCTTTTGATTGTGTACAAATGGAAGCGTCTTGTATTGCAGGCGAGGAGTTGATAAAGCCGACGCGCATCTACGTGAAGAGCGTGCTGCCGGCGCTGCGCGAGGGGCGCGTGAAGGCCGTGGCGCACATCACGGGCGGCGGCCTCCTCGACAACATCCCGCGCGTCATCCCCGACAACGTGCGCGCGCGCCTCAACGCGCACTGGTGGCACGTGCACCCCGTACGTACACTCACTAGCACTGACCGCACATCCCCCCCACCGTGCGCACTGGTGGCACGTGCACCCCGTACGTACACTCACTAGCACTGACCGCACATCCCCCCCACCGTGCGCACTGGTGGCACGTGCACCCCGTACGTACACTCACTAGCACTGACCGCACATCCCCCCCACCGTGCGCACTGGTGGCACGTGCACCCCGTACGTACACTCACTAGCACTGACCGCACATCCCCCCCACCGTGCGCACTGGTGGCACGTGCACCCCGTACGTACACTCACTAGCACTGACCGCACATCCCCCCCACCGTGCGCACTGGTGGCACGTGCACCCCGTACGTACACTCACTAGCACTGACCGCACATCCCCCCCACCGTGCGCACTGGTGGCACGTGCACCCCGTACGTACACTCACTAGCACTGACCGCACATCCCCCCCACCGTGCGCACTGGTGGCACGTGCACCCCGTACGTACACTCACTAGCACTGACCGCACATCCCCCCCACCGTGCGCACTGGTGGCACGTGCACCCCGTACGTACACTCACTAGCACTGACCGCACATCCCCCCACCGTGCGCACTGGTGGCACGTGCACCCCGTACGTACACTCACTAGCACTGACCGCACATCCCCCCCACCGTGCGCACTGGTGGCACGTGCACCCCGTACGTACACTCACTAGCACTGACCGCACATCCCCCCACCGTGCGCACTGGTGGCACGTGCACCCCGTACGTACACTCACTAGCACTGACCGCACATCCCCCGCACTATGCGCACTGGTGGCACGTGCACCCCGTACGTACACTCACTAGCACTGACCGCACATCCCCCCCACCGCGCGCACTGGTGGCACGTGCACCCCGTACGTACACTCACTAGCACTGACCGCACATCCCCCCCACCGTGCGCACTGGTGGCACGTGCACCCCGTACGTACACTCACTAGCACTGACCGCACATCCCCCCACCGTGCGCACTGGTGGCACGTGCACCCCGTACGTACACTCACTAGCACTGACCGCACATCCCCCCCACCGTGCGCACTGGTGGCACGTGCACCCCGTACGTACACTCACTAGCACTGACCGCACATCCCCCCCACCGTGCGCACTGGGGGCACGTGCACCCCGTACGTACACTCACTAGCACTGACCGCACATCCCCCCACCGTGCGCACTGGTGGCACGTGCACCCCGTACGTACACTCACTAGCACTGACCGCACATCCCCCCCACCGTGCGCACTGGTGGCACGTGCACCCCGTACGTACACTCACTAGCACTGACCGCACATCCCCCCACCGTGCGCACTGGTGGCACGTGCACCCCGTACGTACACTCACTAGCACTGACCGCACATCCCCCGCACTATGCGCACTGGTGGCACGTGCACCCCGTACGTACACTCACTAGCACTGACCGCACATCCCCCCACCGTGCGCACTGGTGGCACGTGCACCCCGTACGTACACTCACTAGCACTGACCGCACATCCCCCGCACTATGCGCACTGGTGGCACGTGCACCCCGTACGTACACTCACTAGCACTGACCGCACATCCCCCCCACCGTGCGCACTGGTGGCACGTGCACCCCGTACGTACACTCACTAGCACTGACCGCACATCCCCCCCACCGTGCGCACTGGTGGCACGTGCACCCCGTACGTACACTCACTAGCACTGACCGCACATCCCCCCCACCGTGCGCACTGGTGGCACGTGCACCCCGTACGTACACTCACTAGCACTGACCGCACACCCCCCCCCCCGTGCGCACTGGTGGCACGTGCACCCCGTACGTACACTCACTAGCACTGACCGCACATCCCCCCCACCGTGCGCACTGGTGGCACGTGCACCCCGTACGTACACTCACTAGCACTGACCGCACATCCCCCCCACCGTGCGCACTGGTGGCACGTGCACCCCGTACGTACACTCACTAGCACTGACCGCACATCCCCCCCACCGTGCGCACTGGTGGCACGTGCACCCCGTACGTACACTCACTAGCACTGACCGCACATCCCCCCCACCGTGCGCACTGGTGGCACGTGCACCCCGTACGTACACTCACTAGCACTGACCGCACATCCCCCCCACCGTGCGCACTGGTGGCACGTGCACATCCGAAAATCCGGCCCACACATATTTATATGCGTATGCGCATGTACATACTAGTATCCTCATAAGTATAGCACACACACCCCTTTCACGAGGTCCTTCCATCAACGTATTATGTTCAATGTTAATTTTTAATGCAGGTATTTCCATGGATAGCAGACGCTGGGTCCGTGCAAGATGACGAGATGCTGAGGACCTTCAACTGTGGTATTGGAATGGTGCTAATCGTGGCACCCGAGGACCAGGCTGAAGTGAGTAACCTAAACTTATAAGGCGAACTGCCAACCAGTTACTCTTGTTTTAATTGATTGAACATTCAATTATTTGAGAATACTCTTGCGCAATTAACTGCTTCGTTCTCTATTTCAAAAAGTGAAGGGAGGGGAGTAATAGTTACACACCGAATAAAGCTGTTTTATTATGAATCGCTTTTGTATAGTACGCGCCATATGACTCTGCGTCAACGAAGTTCGCGCCACAAGCGCAGCAAAATGATATTTTAGGTATCAGAGGGGTAATTTGTGCGCATTGGAGAGAGACGGGGGCACTTGGCCGACGCGTTGTCCCGCCGCAAGGTCAGTAGTGCATCTCGCTCTAACACATTAAGTGACTTATCTGCTTGGCTCTCACGTACAGTTGTGAACATAATTGTTAAAAAATCTGTTAATATAAGTTAATTTCCTACTTTTAAAAACTTCGATTTACTGAGAATTACTTCAAATTATTGTAGATATTATTCTAGTAATTTGCCACTTTAATAGACTAAATTTGGAACATAATTCTATTATTGCCTATTCATTGATAACGTATTTCCTAGTAGTCCGGCTTTGTTACCAAAAGCGTGATATGTATTTTACTTTTTTGCCACTTTAGTTTTTGAAATATTAACGTAATCGTTCGGAAACAGATTCACATGAACATTATATAATTAGTTACAATTCTGAATTAAATAAATTGAATTTTATTATTACTTGTTTGTAGCCTAATAATTCACGCAAAAATGTTTAAAATGTTTCTAGGCTCAGTACGTTTGTTTGCGAGTGTGTATACGCAACATCCGGTGTGTAGGCAACTTCATTGACGCAGAGTTGCGTGTTACATATTATTACTGTTTATTTATTTATTTATTTGATTGGAGGAATGGTAGTTGAAGGGTACAAGAGAAGAGGATGACCAAAGAAAAGGTGGATGTAAAGAAGAATGGATTGTGTGAGTGAGGATATTGGCTAGGGGTTACTCCTTTAGACAATATCCTCACTCACACAATCCAGTAATACCCTAGCCAATATTCTCACTCACACAATCCAGTAATACCCTAGCCAATATCCTCACTCACACAATACAGTGAAATGACGAATGATAGAATAGAATAAAAGAATCATATATACTGCGCCGACCCCAAATGAAATTAAGATGGTGATGGTGGAAGGACCGCGGTTAAGTCAGGACTTAATACCACATTAATATTTTGTTTAGCTGATTGGATTAATTCGGACATGCTGCTGTGTGGCTGCCTAAGTCTCACTGCCGTTTTAATGTACGAAATTGAGACTTGGGCAGCCACGCAGCGGCATGTCCATACCATTCATGTTGCGGAAATGAAGATGCTAAGATGGGTGTGTAACCAGGATGGATAAGATCCGAAATGAGTACATACGAGAAATCCTGGGAGTCCACGATGTAGCGGAGAAGCTGCTAGAGAGTAGGATGAAATGGTATGGACATATCAGGCCGACCATCTGATTACGTTGGAAACCAGGCACTTTCCCGGAACACGCTCTAAAGAAAGACTACATGGGCAGGTGTGTTGCGGAGGGTCATGAACCCAACGTAATGTTTCCGAAGACGAGACGTCAGGGACAGGACGAAGAGGGCTGGCCCCTCCACCATGTGGGACGAATAGTTGGGAAGAGCGAGAGAGTTTCGATTAATTTTCAATAATAAAATGTATAAAGAGTAAAACAATTTTTCAACATTATGCTTAATTTGACCTCAGGTAATGAATAAACTTCGGTCGTTCGGCGCCATGGTGATCGGATCTATACAGGCTCGTCCACCGACGGGCCCAAGAGTTATCGTCGACAACTTCGCCTCAGCTCTGGACTTCACTAGAAGAATGCCTTTGATGCCCACCAAAAAGGTAAGGATTAACTATTATCAATAGTTTGTAAATAAATTACACGACTTTCAATCGTATACGCTTTTGTAGATGGTAAAAGACGGTGGTGATAGACGGTTAAGAAAGGCTAAGATTGTGTTTAATTTATATAAGTGTTCCATCAGTCAATCTAGCTTTCATAATACAAGCTCTGCTTAGTTTGAAACTAGATGGCGTTGTGTTTCAGATGTTTGAAATGTTATTATTATTATAAATTGTTTTAGTAAACAATCAATATGTGCTTCTTGATTTGCCTAAAGGTATTTTGATACAATTAAAAACAGTGGTACGATTTTAAACCAAGAAAATCGATTTAGGACAAGACTTCTGTATAATATAATGTTTTAACTTAATCAGAAATAGGCGTTAATAGTTGCTACGTTAACAGTTTATACTGCTGCAGCTATTACTGTACTGCCTCAGTGGTACTGTGCTGAGGTCTCGGGTTCGATTCCCGGGTCGGATCAAATGTTTGTATTTTCTGAAAATATATGTTTCGAAGTTTTGGCGTATAATATGTATGTACTTACAAAAAAAGTATATAAGTATTCTATCAGTCAATCTAGCTTTTATAGTACGTGTGTTGTGTGTAAGATGGGTCACTCATCTGGACTCACTTTGAATAAATAGCTTAGAAGAGAGAGAGAGTGAAAATGTGATATTTTTGTATGTGTCAGGTGGCAGTGTTGGCGTCAGGCAACGGCAGCAACCTGCAGGCGCTGATAGACACGACGCGGGACCCCGCGCAGTGCATGTGCGCCGACATCACGCTCGTCGTCAGCAACAAGAAGGACGCCTACGCGCTGCAACGCGCCGAGAAGGCTGGGATACCCACACTTGTATGTACCATTCTATTACAATATAATATGTGTGGAGGAACGAGTGCCATGTCCCTCCAACACAAAGGGAGGATTCTCCGTCCAGGCGAGGTGATCATTTAGCGAGCCGCTGCCCAACGGTTGATGTTGGAAAGTTGTAAAATTTTCGTCGAGAGAATTCTCTGTAGTTCGGTGTGTCTTCGTTGGAAGGCGCTGTAGTATGTTTTTAGTTTCTTTGTTATCCCCTCCAAGACCGGCAGTCGATGCGTCAGCTGCCTATGCCCTGTTGTGGAGCGTGCCAGTGCCAGTAGTGAGTAGTTCCAGTGAGTCGGAACTTTATTGTATACCAATTACAAAATGATAGATCAATATTACAGACGGATATGTACAATGGGCGGTCTTATTTCTAAAAGCAATCTCTTACAGGCAACCTTTGGTAGGACAAATCGACAGTAGATTAGTATTTTTAAGCTCTTTAATGTAAATCTCAGATATACATGTCAAATTTGTTTTCTTTTTTTTATAACAATATATAATATTCGTGCTACGGTGTATTGTATTTTGGTAAACAAAAACATACCTTACCAAATTTTCATAAAAGAAAAGGGGTCAGAAAGGGAAATAGAGTTTGTTCGTTCAAAAGAAAATATAAGTGAGGGCAAATGAATTGATTGACAAAACACCAGGGCCTCTATTCTGCTATTTTATGTTAACGCCAAGCCACTGTCTTTCCATTGAGACGCCTTTGACATCGGTCAAAATATCAGTATTCTACTAAAATAAATTTACAGTGTCTAGACTGTCGATATAGTAATATAGGTCATCATCAATGGTGATATCAACAACATTGCTATACCTGGAAATTTAAATATATAATTTTCTTACAAATTTAAAATGTACCGTTTACCAAACTGTTACAAAGACATCGACGACATTTGTATCAGTGGCCATTGGGCACATCGGGGGCCATTGGTCATACATAGTTAGTAGAATGGAAAATGGGCAAAACTATTCGGACGACATTCCATCGACAGACTATTGATACAATACTTAAATATCAGAAATGAGGCCCTGGTTTAAGACCATTTATTTCTCACAAAGAATCACATTGACTATTCACTCACATGAGAAAAACAAATTATAGTTTCATTGATTTTGCTGTGATACAGAAAAAAAGTAATTGAAACAACAAACAATTTATTACACAAATATAGTAAGGTTAACATGAAAACATTATGCATTCCAAACATTTGTTCAACCACGTTAGTAAATACAGCGATCAAGGGTGCCTAGAAGTGACAAAACGGTTTGTACACACTACAATTTACTTTTACATATTTTGCACTATGAAAACTATTATCTGCTAGTTATGGTAGTAAATTTAAGTAAATATTTTGTTGATTATTTATTATATTGTGTATCTTTTTGTTAACATTATATATATGTATATATATATATAATGTTAATAAAAAAATATATATATAAATATAAATATTATTACGTTGATTGATATCGATTCATAGTTAAATATATTAATATTTTAGCATTAGTGCATGTAGTATCATTATTAATTTCATTATTATAAGTTTATATATATTTGTATATATAAACTTATAAATTTATGCAATAAAATATATAAATTAATGCAATAGATAAACATTATGATTTATAAAAAGTCTATAATTTATCAATGATGTGATACTTTAATAATTTTTTGAAAGTTTGCATGTTTTTCGCATCTGTTACAACTTTACCCAGCTGATTATAGATTTTAGCACCTTCATACATAATACTCCTCCTTCCATAATTTGTTCGTGATTTTAACAGAAATAAAGGGTGTAAGGGACGTCGTAACGAATACTGAAATATTAGTATAGTATTGGAATATATTAGAATGATTAGAATAGTATTCAGACTATCATTAGTCTTTTTTTTTCCCGCACTAGGAAAACTCCCCGTAGATATCGCACAAAAGTAATAACTATATTTGAAATCCGTGATATATATATATTGATGTTTTACTAGGTATTCAACCACAAGGACTACGCCTCGCGGGAGGAGTTCGATCGCGCCGTGAGCGATGCTCTAGAGGCACACAAGATAGACATCGTGTGTCTAGCGGGCTACATGAGGATCCTGTCCTCCGAGTTTGTTAAAAAGTTCGTATACAGTTTTTTTTTTAATTTCTAGCAGCAAAGTGTTAAATTGTGCGACAACAAGCAGGTGGTCATTAAAAAAACAAATTACCAGTGAATGAGAACACTCGAAGTACTTTTTTAGATAGGACAGCGTATATAACAATATATAGTTCATTATCATCATCATCAAAAGCCTTTAACAGTCCACTGCTGGACATAGGCCTCTCCTTAGAAAGGAGGTTTTGGCCTGCTATACCATGCTGGGCAGACGGGTTGGTATAGGGTTTCTGTCAATTTTTCCTTCTCTTTGCAGTGCTGTTTTTCTGAGTAGTTTGCTCCCTTAGTCGACTCTTACGACACCCATATATGGTTAGTTCACATCACATCACATCAACAGCCCTTAATAGTCCACTGCTGGACATAAGCCTCTCCTTAGTAAGGAGGTTTTGGCCTACTATACCACGCTGGCCAGACGGGTTGGTATAGGGTTTGTGTCAAGTTTTCCTTCTCTTTGCAGTGCTGGTTGTCCTGCGTTAGCTCCCTTAGTCGTCTCTTACGACACCCACGGGATGAATAGGGGTGGTGACACTCCGTATTCTTAATCCGTCACCACATGAACTAATGGTTAGTTGGTATTTAATTAAATATGTATTGTTTTATGACCTCTTTGTATCTGTATTTATAGGTGGCACGGTAGACTCTTGAACATCCATCCTTCGTTATTACCCAGACACCCAGGACTTCATGCACAGAAGCAATGTTTGGAAGCCGGCGATAGGGAGAGTGGATGCACCGTGCATTTCGTTGATGTAAGTACACTGTAACTAGCACGTTTAATTGATTATGCCAACATTTGTCCCAGTTTATACAAATTCTTTGGCACCCAGTAGCATTCTTTAGTTTTGTTTTAATTATGTGCAATTTATTTACTTAGCCATGTCAGTATTTTAGGTTGGTTAGTGGTCTGCCTTCCGCATCAAATCTAACTGAATCGCATAAATCGGTAAACGAAAGGTCATCGTCACCTTTCGTTTATTGATTTATGCGGTTCAGTTTTATCTCGAAATCAGTAAACTGTTGGTCTAATTTTAGAATGTTAAACGTCGAGGGATGTTTATTTAAGGCTTACGCACAACGGGACGGGATGGTAGAGGAATTTAATTTTTACCTTCAAACTTATTTTACATTTAAACGACCCCTCTTCCGTACTGCCAGTCATACTCAGTCTCATTTGGGGTTTAGCATTTTGTGACTGAAAGTGTATAAGGGAATGAAATATGCCTCGGCAGCATCTGTGCCGTATGCAATGAGGCATATTTCGCCACAGTATCTAAGCGGTCCGGCAGCGACGGCCCGGTGAGTGGAATGTCATATGATGTGGTGTATGCAGGAGGGCATGGACACGGGCCCGATCATCCTGCAGGAGCGCGTGCCGGTGAGCGCGCGCGACTCGGTGGAGGCGCTGACGGCGCGCATCCTGGACGCCGAGCACCGCGCCTACGCGCGCGCGCTGCGCCTCGTCGCCACCGCGCGCGTGCGCCTCGCGCACTCCGGCACGCTCATGTGGTACTCTTAGCGCCACCGCCACACCTGACACCTTATATCGTTCTCATTTCAAATTACACCACCACACGTACTAGAAAAACATTTTCCTTTTAACTTTTTTAGATTAAGCGTGACGCACGTCTCATATGATCGAACCGTTCCATAACGAATTGTAGATATATACTGATTCCTATCGATTTTGGAATTATCGTTTACCACATAAGATACCCGATAAAATACTCTACAAACTATAATAGTAAGTTTCAGTAAATATTCATTGAACTGTTTTATAAAAATACAAACAAAATAATCAAATTAAGTTAAGTGAAAATGTGCATCTAACTTACGTCGAAGTCATTCGCCAAAATCTCGAAATATAGAGAAAAATAAATCTAAGTTATTTTAATCGAAGACCAAGTAAATCATAAATCGAATAATATACATAATACCTATAAGAATAAATAATGATTTAACAATCGACACAAGTTTTTATACACTGGTAGAAGTGTGATCTGTTCTACGTATCTATTAAGTCTCGAATTTGATATTTGTACATAAAGTTATCATTAATATGTAAAAATATTTTGAATTGTTCCAATGTAGTTTAGTTACAATAACTATTTCGACAACTGTTATGTGACATTGCGCAGACGCATATTACAAGCGGCAGCGTTTTCTACCGTGACTATCTATATGGCGACTGTACACACGGTTTAAACTCTTATAAATCTCTACAAAGACACTATATTCTCTCTCTCTCTCTCATTCTATCTATACATGACTAGTAAACATTCAGATGTTTAGTCTAGCTAATGTAGGCCTTATTATTACACATATTTACATAATCTTTCAATTGTTTTTATGACCACATTCCCTCTCCCTTTCTCGCTATATGTAGGAGTGATTTCGTGAAAAGAGACGGAAGTGCGTAACAGGCAGCCGTTTGTTTTAAATATTGTAACTAAATTTCAATGTGCTTTTTTTTATTTTTAAAGTTTACGAATATACAAATTATATGCTTACAGAATGTCTTTTATAAGCATGTTAAGTTTTACAGTGTGTTTAAAATAAAACTATTTTGAAAATTCCATGTGTTTTATTTTCTTTTACTATCGTAGTATATGTACATATCACAGATAAACTTGACATCTCTTGTCGACTTCTTTTTTATGAATCTTACATTGGACAACCAATGCCCACTGGACAATATACTTTTATTATTTATATCAACCAATTGAGAGGACACTCATTGAAGCTTACCAGGTCTCCGTCAGTTAGCAGCCCTAGAAGACACTTTCTACCAAATCGCGTCGTAATCATTTGGAAGTTTACCGGAAAGTGAACAGTTTTAAAAACAGACTAGATGAACATTTAAAAACTACAAAACCAACACAAGTGCAGTGACATGCACGCATCAGATCTGATCTGCTAGTGCATTATAAAATAATAATAATAATATATTCTAAGAAAAAATGAAAAATATATTCAAATAGTCGTTGAAACCACAAAGAAACAAGTTTGTTTTTGTTTTTTATATAAATTGGGGTATTAAATATACTAAATACAATATGTAATCAACACAAGATTATTTACAATTATTATACTCAATATGGAAAAACAAATAAACCCTTTTTTTTTTTTTTTTTTTAACGTGTGGAAATCCCCTCGGACCGTCACCCCACCCACCCACAAACCCTACATCAACCAGTCTGGCCAGCGTGGTATAGTAGGCCAAAACCTCTTTCCTAAGGAGAGGTCCAGCAGTGTACTGTTATAGGCTGTTGTTGATAATAATGAGGGGGCAAATGAGCAGATGGGTCAGCTGATGGGTCGATGGTAAGTGACTACCTAAATGAATAAGCCCAATTAATATTTATAAAATTTGATTTAGTTTATAAATAAGGCAGTAGTACGGAATATTTAAAAATAATAATTACTCATAGTGCGTGACCCAAGTTGGATTTTTCATATTGGGTGATATATTCTAAAAATATATTTAATATTTCTTCTTCTCATTGTTAAAACTCCATAAATCGCCTACAGCTTTAAAAAACACACTAAGTAAATCATCTTCTTTTTTAACTTCATTACTAACTAAATGAACTGTCTTTTCATCTTTAATTACTGAATGGACACCATTCTTTAAAACATCGTCACAAATTTTATCAAACTCCACATGAAACTTCTGTTTATTCATCAAAGGTACTATTAAATTATAAGTATTTATTTTATTATTTATTGATTGTGCTAGTTCTTTGTTACTTTCGTATATTTTCTTCCATTTGGTAGCATCGTCATCTTTGAATGGATACGGACCCAAGTATTTGCGGTCATTCTCTATCTCTTTCCTTAATGCTTCTATGTCTTGCTCTATTTCTTTGCGCATTGTTATCCATTCTGGGGTAAATCCGTTATTTATTAGTACCTGAAAATATTGTAGTAATTATTTGTTTATAACTTTATGCACATTTGTACATCGGCGGACTTAATGCCCAAGGCATTATCTCTCAGTCAACCTTTAGGTAGTGTAGAAATCGTGAGTGGTAGGCTCATATAGGTTATAACACTAATCACTAAGATATACACTACACAACACAACACACGTAATTTTATACACATGCAAATACACACTATACACACATACATACACACACATATATATACATACACTATACATATATATATGTATGTATTATCTGTCTCTGCAATGAAGATTTTAAATTTTGTAACAGATTGTATGGTCTGTTTCTGTATATGTAACAGGTTGGTGACCAATTATCACCCTTTTCATGTACCAACTTTTTGTAAAATATAAATGTAAATATTTGATTGGTCTTAATTGTAATTTTATAACATTCTTTTGTTTCTTTAAAATGTGTGTATACTTAAAAACTCAATTTACATTGTTAAATTAAAACATTACTGATTTGATAACATGATTTTGTAATGAAAATGGAATTAAATTTATCTTTAATATCAATTTTCGCGGAAACTTGGTTCATATGAATTTTAATAATAAGTTATTTATTAATAATATTTAATATTTTAAGTGATACAAATATATAATTGTACAAATTGCCTAGTTAACGGTTAAAGGAAACAATGAAATGTACTGTTCTGTCAATTCCTTTGAGAATATGTGCATAAATGTATGCACATACACACTTACCTAGTAAATTTTAGGAATTTTCATGTAAATAAAGTGTATCAATAATTTTACTAGTAAAACAAAGAAATCAGTAATGTGAAAATGATTTTTTAATAATTCTGTGTACAGAGCCTTAATCTTAAATAACCTTTCTTAAAGGTTAGGTCATTTTTTAAAAAACCTTTCTTCTCTTCTTAAATATTTTTTGTCTGTCTATCTATATGTTCCTGGTAATAATCTTCAAAACGGCTGGACCGATTTTGATAATATTTTACTACCAGGTAGCTGTCTATAAGAAGTAACTTAGACTATTTTTTCTCTTAGAAAAACCATATAAAATTTTGCCTGGTCTAGGAATCTAACCCACTAAGGCAGCGCTTTTCAAATTCTACGCGAATGAAGTTGAAGGCACCAGCTAGTAAATTATATATATATTTAATGCAAAAACTTGCTTATTATTTTTCAATATCAAATTGTTATTAGTATCTATATGCATATATATTTATATACTTTTGTACTGTACTTATGTATTGTAATGTATGTTCCCATGTGTAGAATGTATAGGTGTAGTATATGATTGGTTTGTATATGTGTAAATATGTAATTTTGTATTCAGTTTAAATTAGACTTGCAACGAATAGTATATTCGGCAGTATACCGAATACCGAATATTCGGCGAGGCCCCTGACCGAATAGCCGAATATTAGGCAAAAGTATTCGGCTGGATTTTAGCGCCAAAAACTTGTACAGACGTGTATTAAATTATGTACCTGTTTTATGTACCAATGACTTTTTAATAAATGATTATAAAAGAAATGAGAACCTTACCCTTCTAAATTTTGATTACCACAATAATTCAAATACATAGAATCCTCCATTTTTCCAATTCAGAAGATGATTATGTACCTGTGTCATGCACCAATGACTACTTAAATGATTATAACAGAAATAAAAATATGAATATATACGTAATCAATCGTTTTTAATTTTTCATTTTACCAATTATTTCTCAATGACAAAATATATTATTTAAGTATTCGGTATTCGGCCGAATAATATGTAGATATTCGGTATTCGGCCGAATATAATAAAAGCAGCCGAATAGGCCGAATACCGAATAGTAACCGAATATTCGTTGCAAGTCTAGTTTAAATTGCTTTTAGTTTGTATAAAATTAACTGTAACCAAAATGCACATACTTCCTATTTTCTCTGCATCACCCAATGGTTGACTGGTAGAGAATGTCTTAGGCGGTAAGTCCATCAATGCACCATTAGATGCATGCACATTGGTGCATGACGTGTAAATAAATATATTTCTAGACTTACCTCATTCAACTTGTGTGTTGTAAAATCAACGTAAGGATTTGTATTCTGACTTTTCAATGGCTTTCCTTTACCGCTCAGGTTTTCAAACTCCCCTTTAGACATCGATTCTTGTATCAAGTCCTCAACCAGCCTGTCAAAGCCATACTTTGTTTTAATATCGTGTTTCACTGCACGCTGTCCTTTCTTCATCAAGGTGTTTTCTGCAGCTACGGCTTTTTCTATACGGTGTTCCATAACATTCATGGCAGCTTTTTGTGCCCTGACTTGAGCATACTGCTTCTCACGTTGAAATATAGTGCCATGAACGTAGCCATCATAGCTTAAGTACTGACGGTGTTGAGGAGCTGTGTGCTGGAATATTGACATAAGTTTGAAGTGTTGTAAGTATATTCATATTTTGAATATTTATTATTACTGAATATAGTTTAGGAGCCAGAGCTGGCTGTATGCAATTGAAATTACTATAACAGACCTTTAAATGTATCTATCAATACTACAAAATAGAAATACAATACAAACTAAAAAAAAATGCACATTCATTCAAATTATTAAGGCCTATGTCCATCAGTGGACTGCGATAGGCTGATGATGGTGATGATGGGAAGTTACAACCAAGTTGCACTGTTGCCTTTGATCGCTCACAGTCCTTTCTGTGTAACGGTAACTTAAGTATATCATGGAATATGAAAATTTTAAAGTTGTAAAACAAAAAAATTTATTAGTAAACATGAATTTCTTTGTTTTTTTTTCTAGAATTACTACTTGTAAGATTATACAAATAAAATATGCTTACTCTGATGTCAAAAACAATCTTCTCCACTTCTTCTTGACTACTCTTGCCAGTGATATGATTATTCAGAGTCCTGAATGCATTTTCTACAGCCACAAACTTGTCCATATCTGCTTCTGGAGACCCTGAGTCTGGGTGGTACTTTTTGGCCAGCTCCAGAAAAGCTTGTCGAACTGCATCTTGTTTGGAATCTAACGGTAAGTCGAGCGTTTGATAACATTCCTGAAATATCTCTTACGGTCGGTACAAAGTTTACTTTAGTTCTAATAATGAATACTGGTTTTGAAATAAGAGCACAGTAAATAATTCGTGTAACACTTTTTTTAAAATTGATTTCTTAGCGCGATTAAATTAAATGTCAAACAAGTTTTAAAATAAATCTTACAGCTATTTTCTTCTCTGACGATTGAGATACGATTGACTTCGCATTAATAAAAAGTGGAGAAAAGTTAAGAAGTTGTGGGCGGATAACCTGATAGGGCGATGTGTTCATTTTTGTTAATATATTACAGACTGGCGCATAGTTCGTTTTACATTACGTAAATAATATTTACGTGTTATCAGATAGTGTGAAATTCAAAGCAAGAATTTTGTCATTTCTTTGATGACTGACTCTTCACGTTACGTATTTGAATTTGAAGCACAGAACATTATTATTTAAAGATTGTTAGAGGGAGTCAGAGCTGCCAACTTTGAATTCCGAGTTGAAATGCGCATTTAGCAAGAAAGTTGTAAAGCTAAATGTACCTAGTGGTTAGACCGTAAAAAATATTAGAAATGTGTTGTTGTAAGGTATACATTTTAAAATTTTATTAAATTATAAATTGTAGTCATTGTTTTGCTCACAGCTACCAAAATACCAAACAATAAATAAAATACCTTGACAGAATAATTTACTATAAATCGAGGTATACGGGTTATTCATTTTCATAACTTATGCATAAATAAGTAACTTTAACTGAACTGTGATATATTAGTATAAATTTTATTTATATTTTCTTTTTTATTTTCCCGCAAACGATATCTGTAAACTAGAGTTAGTTTTCCTAGAGATGACCATTGATTATGTAATGTTGGGACGTAACACTGAATTGAACTGACTGAATTGACTTCTAGATCTTAGTGATAATAAAGTTACTCTGTAAACGTAGAAAACTGATTAATCTAAATAATCTTGAATTATAAACAGTAAACATCAATAAACTCAGTGTAATCTATACTAATATTATAAAGCTGAAGAGTTTGTTTGTTTGTTTGTTTGAACGCGCTAATCTCAGGAACTACTGGTTCGATTTGAAAAATTCTTTCAGTGTTAGATAGCCCATTTATCGAGGAAGGCTATAGGCTATATATCATCACGCTAAGACCAATAGGAGCGGAGCACCAATGAAGAATGTTTCAAAAACGGAGAAAATTTATTACTATTGAGTGACGCAGACGAAGTTGCGCGGGTCAGCTAGTGAGGAAAATAAAAACTATCCTTCGTATTTTCTTGAACAATCGACTGCTACAACGGTAATGAAATCGATTTGATACCTTTTAATCGATTTTTGAACTAGAAATAGTAGAAATTCTAATCTAGAGTCATCACATCACTCAACCCAACTGTACCGTTGACATTTTTGGAAGAGAGAGAATACGTTTGTTGTATTTTTATTTTATTTGTAGTTGATTCATACTTTCCTTATAAGGTCACGTTATTATAAAGTGATATGTGTGTGGAATAGTGTACGCTCTATTTATTGATGTAAGATAACTATATGTACTGACAATATGGCAATATCAGCAGACGATGTTATGAGACGCTATCCGCTACACTGGCTTGTGTGGAACAATCAGTATGAAGAACTGAAGAACTCATTGACATCTAAAAAGGTATATATTCATAGTCGAATTCTTAGTTTTTAATCTATTTTCTTCATCCTCCTTTTTGAGGTTATGCCCGGGATTGCGCCTTTCGCCTATCCATAAGTTGTGGGTGTCAGGACTAGCCGTAGGTGTATAAGATTAAATTTAGTATACATAATGTCGCTTAATCTAAGGGTGTATTGTACCAGGTTACCTTTTATCTATGTAACTAGTATTTATAGCCTTACTGTTTTTGTTTATGTGTACAAATATAAAATTGAGAATATTATGGAATAGAATTCTAGAATTCAATCCTAAGGCATTAATACTTATCAGTTCATAATATGTTCTTGTTAATAACTTCTATTAGTGAAGTAAAAAAAATTATTAGCGTAATAAAATAGAAATATTGTTTAATACCTAAACTACTTATTATTAAACATTATAGTCCATCTGTATGTTGACCAATGTTGTTTTTTTTTATTGAATTCTACAATGTATGTTTCCTAATCACAGTATGCAATAAAGAGTACCTATCTCTCTATCTACCATAAACAATAATACTACAGTAATATGATTAACTTTAAATCTTTATCAATGAGTCATTGATATTTCTTGTAAATGAAATAATTTCCATATATTCGATTTCACTATACTCTACTTCACTATGTTTTTAACTTATCTGTGGTGATTATTTTTTTTATTTAAATTACTTAAGAAATGTTTGTAATAGAGGTGTAAAAGTAACGAAAAAAAAACGTACCCGTATGTATTCGTTACTATACATTCAGTACTCGTTACTATCGTATCGTTACTCGTTACTCCTAATAAATACCTCATAACATGCTGTTATGGTAGAGAAACGAGTCGTATTGCGTACGCGTACAAGCGTGCGATTTAATTAATTGTTTGAAAATTAAGTTACAAGGAAATAATTTTAGAATTTCATGAGAGACTAAAACTTTCACTTTCGTTTATTTCATACTATTACATAAAATTTATGAAATTTTAGTGGCAAAATTTTATCAAAACACTTTTTCACAAGTATATACTTTTTTTTTTGAAAAAGAAAAGAAAACTTTGTTTTGAATATTTGAAATTTTGGCACCATAATGCGCGCACATCGGTTCAAATATTTTTAAAGTATATCCGCACAAATTACATATATTTTAATTTTTTTAACCAATCACGTTACGAATAGTTTGTGAACATACTTTTCATGTTCTCTCTATAATTTTATTATAAGATATGACTGTATGTACTAGGTGCGGCATCGCAGCATTCATAATTTCAATTTGTAGAAATAATACATATTCATTACATGCCAAACTGCATTTTTCACTTTGCCGTAGTTTAAACCAGACTTATGTTATAATGAAAAAGCTACAAATAGGCGTCCAAAATTATTTATTGTCAATAAAATTTAAACAGCATTTCAACCATAAATCAACATAAAAATAGTTTTGTTTAGATTGAAATTTGTTTAATTTTTAAATTTTAATTTAAAACGATCAGCAAGAAACGTTTCAATACACGCATCAACGCAGCGTTACATTGCGTCATTGAAACAGCTTATGTAACCATGATACGAAACATGCGAGTAACGAAAAGTATTCGTGAGTAACTTTTCGTTACTCGGTACTAGATGGCGTACCCGTTACTCAGTAACGAATACATACGGTTTGCTACAGCTCTAGTTTGTAATAGATAATCATGTTTCAAGGCATTAAGAAGCCAAACATGAGACTAAAAATAATCTCATTACAAAGAAGCCACAAGAAGTAGAGTGAAGGTTAGTTACAGAAAACAAACTTCTTTTGTTGAACTCCTTTGATTTAATAACCAAAGTTTTACTTAAATGTGTAATAGAAAACATACTTAAAAAATGTTAATTTGAAAATTGAACATTATAACGATAACAATAAGGATGATTTAAGTTTGGGATGTATTGACCGTTTCTGTGTTGAAACTATTAAGATATAGAAAAGTAATATATTTACACATACACTATATGATTATTATTACTCCTACACTAGGAATATAATCCTGTGTTGCGACTTTACAAATATACATGAAATGGATTGGATCGGAACAACAATTTGTGACTCACACAAAGTGTCTTCCTATGAGGGGATCAGACCCACAACACGCAGCATTGTAGTGAGCGGCGTGGCAACCGCTTAAACCACTATTCTATCCATGCAATGAAAGCATGGTTCTCCCATGGCGAAATGGCGACATAATAGAAAACATCACATACTTTCTTTTAAGTAATTTATTTGGAGAACCACATGTGGCTAAAACAGATAAAGTAATAATATAATAAAATATATAGTCATGGTCGATCATGGTCGGTCAATATATGATCAGAAGTCATGTCCTGAATTTCTCTTTAAAACCCATCTTTCTTTCTTTTACTTTTGTCCTTTTGGGCTTATTGTGCTTATAGTTTCTGCCATCAATTTTTGTATAGTCTTAGTTGTAAAATAAAACTTTCAATATCTAAAAAAACAATTTATTACTGTTACAGTTTACACAAGAAGAAATAGAAGGAAAAGACCTTAGAGGCCGCACTCCTTTATTGTTAGCAGTCACACTCGGTCATTTAGAGTCAGTACGGGTGCTTATAGAGGCTGGGGCAGATGTTAATTGTGAAAAAGATGGGTGGACTGGTGAGTATTATCAAATTGTTTGCAAAATAAACCCCTTTTTACTATTAATTTGTGTGGAGGAACGGGTTTCATGTCTCTCCAACTCAAAGGGGCAACAATTTGACAAAAGACTAACATAAATATAAGCTACTATACTATAACATACTACTTCATCATCATCATCATCATCATCAACAACAGCCTTTAATAATCCACTGCTGGACATAGGCCTCTCCTTAGAAAGGAGGTTTTGGCCTATACCATTTGACCAGACACGTTGGTATAGGATTTATTTCAAGTTTTCTTTCTCTTTGCTGTGCTCTTCTCTTGCAGAATTTGCTGTCGGCTCTTACGCCACCTACGGGATAATTAGTGGTCGTGACAGTCCTATTCTTAATCTGTTACCACCCAGGCACGAGCATTACTTACAATAAAATTATAATAAAAGAAAAACTTTTAGGGCCAAAAGTCTAAAATAAATGAATAGAATAACAACTCCTTCAGAGTGACAATTTGTTACCTATTCTATTAATTTATTAGAGATATTTAAGTCTTTAAGTATATACTGTTAATAAACGGGTGGTTGTAGATCGGCACAGGCATATCATAGATTTTGGATGTTTAATTTTTATTAAATTTAGTTGGCTTACTATTTGACAAAACAGAGATTGTAGCTGTTGTGTGTGTTGATCTATGACTGTAGAGTCTACATAAAAGATGATTTTGAACAATTTAAAAATATTTATGAAATAAAGAGAGTTTGAGTTTGAGGAATTATAGGAAAGCAATTTTATATATTACACTCAATATTGTTTAATTATGCCAACATTGGCATTATATATATTGTTGTCTCATGCCAACTTTAAGTTAATACAATTCTTTGTTGTATATATAGTTTTAAATTCCTTAAGTATGTTGAACTGAGTCTTTGAATATCTGACATTTATGTCAATGTCTTAGTGACCTTTGTTTCTAAATAAAATGTCCTAAGAACTAGTAACTGGATGTGGTTCTGAAACATATATATACCATAGTATTACCTCTTGTAAGTTATATGTCAAACTCCCCGCTAATTACGTGTGTTTACTTTAGCGGTTCAAGAAGCTACAGCGACAGGCAATCCAGAGCTCTTATCTCTGGTGCTATCAAGAAGAGATTACCAGCGGCATGTCCTGCGGTCTGGCGGCATCCCTGACTTACTGCGGCGATTGAGCCTCGCGCCTGACTTTTATGTGGAGATGAAATGGGAGTTTACTAGTTGGGGTGAGTTGAAAATAAAAAATATATTAAATAGATATTATACTTCTTTTTACAGCTAAACACCTTAACTGATCATAAATAACTTAAGCAAAAAAAAAAACATAATAATAGTGTGTTAGCTATTATAAAATTATATGACTCCAATGTTAGATTGTATACATTATTTTCAATTTTTCTAGTAACATTTCTAGTTCATTCAAATATCAGGTATTTGGAGCGGTTTCGCACTACGTCCGATCCGAAGTCGATGCCAACCCGTGAAAATACGGATCTAGAAATCTCGGATATTTCTTTTCGCACTGTCTCCTATTTCTGACCTGATATTGTTTACGCACTATTGCGACCTCTGAATACAATTTATTCAGGGGTCACCTTTTAGAATACGTCATTTTACGCGGAGCCACAGCAGAGCGTTCACGTCATTGATCATGAGACCTTATGAACGTACGAACTACACATCTTCTCCGGAATTCACGCATACGGAGCTCATGTATATCGGATCTCGTGCATAAACCACCATAGAAATAGTTCTACGACTACTTTGGACCGTATTTTCACGGGTTCTGATCGGATTCTGATTAGATTTAGTGCGAAACCGCTCTTACTATTAACCAGGTATTTCGTTAGCCGCGTAAACGCAGACGTCGAGTTTTTTATTTTGACTAAAATAGGTGTTTTCAAGTGTAAACAATGATAAACATCGATTCAATAGTTTAAGAGTTTATGAACATTTAATAATTTATATATAATTGTATTTTCCAGTGCCTCTCGTATCCCGCATGTGTCCATTCGACACATACAAAGTATACAAGCGCGGTGGTAACGTGCGGGTCGACACCACACTTATTGGTTTCGAGAACAACCGATGGCAGAGAGGAGACCGGACGTATATATTCAGAGGGCAGGGTAAGTTTTTTTACTACTATTTTTGTAGCACTAGGAGGAAATTAGGGAAGCTTAACATGATCAACGGGCCTGACTGCTAAGCCTGAGATCGTGGGTTTGACTCCACACTCCACACAGGACGAATAATTGTGTGATGAGAATGATAATTCATTCTGTGTCTGTTTATTTACAACATGCATGTGTTTAAAAATATAGAAGTATTTTTATCAGCGGTCTGGTTTTCATAGCTGAGACTCTGTCAAGTTTGGGATCAGACAGTTGTGTGTTATGTTTATATACTTTTAGTTATAATTATATACTTGGTCTAAAGCAGATGACAGCAGTAATCAGTGTACATACAATATTAAACAGAAATACCATTTATAAAATATTATCTGCCGTTATTGCAACATTGGACACCAAACACTATATAAAAGGCTGAGTCCACTAATAACAAGTTGCTTGGTTTATAGTTTCAAATTATAAACGAGGAGACATAGATAAGGAAACATCAGTCTATTTCTCATAAAAGTTACTCAGTTGACAGCGAACACCAATCAGAAAGTGTTACGTCACGCCACGCAAAACATCATTGTTGTTGTTTTCATACAACAGAGCAGGTTACTCCTTATTTTTTATTCATTTTTAGAAAACAGTTGACACTGGACACAGATGTAAACAGTTTTGTTTCGCAGACTGTGACGTCATTCAAGACGCCATGACGCTATTCAGCGTTTTCGAAGTTTTTTTTTAAACAAAATGCGTGATGTAAATATTGCTATTTCTTTAAAATATAAGTTTTTTGGGATAAAATAGATATTCAAGTATAAAATTAACCAAGTTTTCAAATTGAGTCAACTAGCCTATTTCATGTCATATCAAGATGGTGATGCTTTGAAAGTTAATAATTAGGAAAACTAATCAGTTCTAATATTTTCAGGTCGGACCGCAAGCCTTATGGAATTAGACCACGAACTAGGTACAGTTTGGTGTGAATACTTAGAACCTATGGAGGGAATCCGAGAGTGGCCCGCGCCGCCCCAGCACGTGATAGACTCGCGTCTCAACTCACCGCTGGCTATCAACTACTTAGACACAGACAAGATTAGTTTTGAGAGGTAATTATCATTGTTTTTATGACACAGGGGGCAAATAAGCAGACAGGTCATAAGTGACTACCGTCGCCTCAGTAGCAAGTGCAACTCAAGAAGACAGGGTGCGTTGCCGCCTTTAAAATCCCCCCTCCATCCTTCAGATTTTGGGCTCCAGTAGCCTGGTGAAAAACAATGAATGAATTGCTTAACACCGGGTTTTTGCGAGGCCTTGGTATCACACCGGTCGAAAAAGCCAATATGTGACAATGGCTCTCCCACGGTTAGCCTTAGTATTTAGTAACCTAATCTACTTCCTCCAAGCCTTTTCTCAAACTAGGTTGGGGTTGGAGTTTTTTACGTGGAGCGACTGCAATCAGACCTCAACAACTCAACTACTAGGCGATATCAAAGTTCTGTAGAAAGATTATTGTTGGAATTTTTAGAGCTCCAACGATTGCCACAGATGATTGTCTGCGACGGCTCCGAGGCACAGGGGGGTCTCAATGGTTTCTAGGGTATACCTGGTTCCCCGGCTATTAGTACCCGAGACGGCGTGCGGTTTTAGTCGGTTCGAGTCCGACATGCCACCGACAGGTGGTATCCGAGGGGATTTCCGCACGGAAAAAAAAAAAAAAAGAAATGTGTTTAGAAATAGTCACCTATTCATACCCGTATCTATGACCTGGCTAGGAGCTACTCAGTTACCACTTAGCCATGAGTAAGGTAATCTACTATTGAGCTATAATTTTCCAAATTGCAGTACTCGTTTATTTAACCTCTGTCCCCTGTCCTCCATATCGTAGTAACTGAATTATCATTCTCATCACACAATTATCTGGATTTCTAGCCGTTTCTTGCAGTTTTGTCCACATTTATGACTTGAACACTTTAGAAAGTTAGTGCAGGATGTAATAAAAACTTATAGCCTTTCTGAACAATGGGTCATAATTAAACCTAACTAGGATATGGTACAGATTTATCGGACAGGACGCATAAGCCCTAAAAATAATTTTATTATATAAGTCAAACATAGATTACAAATAACTTTTTGGCTGTCATGATCGATACGGTTGTTGAAATATAGTTTGTATCTTTAAAGAAATAAAAGCGGTATCTGGGGATGGCGGCAGGACAAGTCTGAACCGGTGAACGGGTACGAATGTAAAGTGTTCAGCGCGAACAACGTGGAGCTGGTGTCGAAGACCCGCAGCGAGCACGTGCCGGTGACGGCGCGCCGCCCCCCCGCCCGCGCGCCGCTGGCGGGGCTGCTCGCGCTCGCCGACTCCGACCAGCCCACCTCGCCCCTGCTCACTCCCGACAAGGTAACTTTCACTCACACTATCTGTATCCAAGTTTGGGATCAGAACCTGTATAGTGGTAACCAGACCGCTGATTAACATACTTCACATCACATCAACAGCTTGTAATAGTCCACTGCTGGACATGAGCCTCTCCTTAGAAAGGAGGTTTTGGCCTACTATACCACGCTGGCCAGACGGGTTGGTATAGGGATTGTTTCAAGTTTTCCTTCTCTTTGCAGTGCTGGTGTCCTGCGTTAGCTCCCTTAGTTGGCTCTTACGACACCCACGGGATGAATAGGGGTGGTGACACTCCATATTCTTAATCAGTCACCTCACGGACTTAACATACCTATATATTTCTAAATATATACATACATCTATATATATAAAAACTTTTAATAAAACCATTTTCAGGAAGACACCCCTCGGAGTAGTAGATCTCGGGAAGACCTAACTTCCTTCAATCCGGTGACGTGGGAGGAATATTTCTCAGAAGAGGCTCCGGAGAGGGACATCGGACGGCCCAGGGAAGTGGCCACTAAGGTGCAGAAGTTCAGGGCTACGTTATGGCTGTGTGAAGACTACCCCTTAGAAGTAAGTGATTCTAAGATAATTATAGGCCATCCAATATTTACAGTATTTTTGACGTTGAGTGTCGTGGGTTTGACCCTGACATGGGACCACACTTTGTGTGATTCATAAATTATCGTTCTGAGTCTGGGTGTTCTTTGTGTCCTTTTCATGAATGATTGTAAAATCCTCTCAACACAGGATATTTTCCAGTGCGCAGTCGTCTTTAAAAAAAACCTGACTTCTGTAAACTTCATATATTTAAATCAATTTTCAACATGCTGTTATTAGCTTGGTATTGGTGTATCACATCACATCATCACATCAACAGCCTTTATTAGTCCACTGCTGGACATAAGCCTCTCCTTAGAAAGGAGGTTTGGGCGTACTATACCACGCTGGTCAGACGGGTTGGTACAGGGTTTGTGTCAAGTTTTCCTTCTCTTTACAGTGCTCTTGTCCTGCAGAGTTTGCTGCCTTAGTTCGGCTCTTACAACACCGACGGTATATAATAATAATATAATATTCTACCACATTCACACAACGCCATCTAGTCCCAAACTAAGCAAAGCTTGTACTATGGGTACTAGACAACTGATATAAATACATATATACTTTTTTTTTTGTAAATACATACATATTATACATAGAAACACTCAGACCAAATCAAACATCAAATGCACACAAATGTTTGACTTGAGCGGGAATCGAACCCGCGACCTTTGGAATAGCAGTCCGTTACACAAACCACTACGCCATCCGGTCGTCGTCGTATGAATAGGGGTGGTGACACTCAGTATTCTTAATCTGTCACCACACGGAGGTTCATTTATGTATCTATGTTACGGCATCTTTGAACGTGATTTTCACCCAGTTTAAAACATCGCCGGATAGAATTCAAACTTCGCACGTTTATCAAGGACCAATTACAATAATTTGATAAATGTTTCCCATTAACCTGATCACCATCTTGACGATTTACGGCTGTTTCCATACCCAATACCTACCGTTAGTGAGTTTTGCCACGTTAGGCGTGTGCTGAAGCATATGTAATTTACTTACTTCTAACTTTTTTAGTGTTAATGAGAAAATATTCATCATTAATGACTACAAAGCAAAAATAAACTATAGTTTAAAATAAAAAAAATACTCTTTTGTAACTAGCTGAACTAAAAAATAGTTAAAGTTCAAAAAGAAAAATCATTTTATCGTAAAAAAGATGGAGTATTTTTTTCAACATATTTTTTAATATAATAACTTTACTTTTGTATGATTTGAATGTAGCATCCCACGTATTTTTACGATAAAACGAGTTTCTTTTTGAACTTATTGAAAATTATTTTCTACTTTTTAGTTCGGCTAGTTACAAAAGCATGTTTTTTTTTTAAACTAATTTATTTTACGCTAAATACTATATGTATACCCCAAACCTTTATCCAGCACCGTACATAAGAATAGTTTGTTTATTTATTGTATTAAAACAGTTACAGGAACAAATAATGCCGATCCTAGACTTGATGGCGGCGATATCGTCACCGCACTTCGCCAAGTTAAAGGACTTCATACAAATGCAACTGCCCTCAGGATTCCCTGTTAAAATTGGTAAGATTTTTAATCTTCACTTTTCAATAACTGGGAAATAATAATTTTTATTTAAATAATATCTTATAAATTTCGTCTTTTTAACCGACTGCGACAGAAGGGATGATTATGTTTTTCGAGTGTGAATGTATGTATATTTGACATGCTCTGTAGTCTAAACGGCTTAATTAATTTTGGCGTTTGATATTGAGAAATTAAAAACTAATTAATTTAATTTTTCTAATGTACCCACTCAGACGTTTCCCACTCCCCAAAGGTAGACTGGGAGAAAATGCCTGTGGTGTTAAGTCCGCCATTGTACAATCAATTGTAATTTGTGCATAAAGAATTAAAATAAAATTAAACCGCCGGATTGGATCTTTGATACATTTTTACGCATTCGGATCTTTGTTTTTTTTTTTCAATGATTAGCTTATTTGTGATCATAATATTAGTTAACATATTCCCAAAGCTAAACTAAACTACCATTTTGTAGAAATACCTCTCTTCCACGTGCTAAACGCACGTATTACCTTCGGCAACATCTTCGCCACAGAAACTCCCGTCCCTTACATCTCGTGCATACAAGAAGGGGACAGACTGTCGTGTGTGGTGGACGATCAGTGCTTCGTGGTCGGCCATGGCTACCGGGACGCGGCGGCTCCAGATGAAAGGTTATCATGCGGCGTTGATGACGAAGAAGGACTGCTCCAGTATGCCATACAGCAGAGCTTGATGGAGGGGGGCACACATGATGACCAAGTGAGTTGTTCAGATTTTAGATTTTTATAACCTGTGCACCGTATTATTCGAGTTCTTTCGGGGAAATCGTTTTTTGAATGAATTGCATTCGTCTTAACGATACCACGGCATCGCCGAAAACCGGTGTTAAGTAAAGGTCGTAGTCTACTTAAACGACTCCATTTAAATATGGACTTAACACGGTGCTCTGTAGACGCACTTTACAGTAACAATAAAAAAAAAGCAGACCTGTCTGCTATTGCATTTTTATATCCTGAAGAGGCCAGATGGCGGTTATAGTGAGCTCACTAAGAGAGTCGAGTCGTGTTGTGTATGTGCGTGTATCCGTATGTAACCGGTGTGCGTGCGCGTGCGCAGGTGGACGTGTGGGAGGCGCTGCGCGGCGCGCGCCCGCCCAGCGCCGGCCCCACCACGCACGGCACCACGCACGAGGACACGCAGCTGCAGAGGTGCGTACACCACACCACACACCCTTACGTCTTTATATTTACGATTCAATTACAAAATATTTTTACAGGCGATCACCTCATCGATTTAAGTAGATTAGTTTTTTAGTGTGCGTGTGTGTGTGCTATATCAATATATATTATATAATACATTTACATGTACACAAAGTATTTTATATTACACGAGTGTCACTTTAAAAGCTTTCCTAATAAAAATACACATACAAATGTACAACGTATAAGCTATGAATAGACGTTACACGTTACCCTTTCTAATAATTAATAATCAGCGTTAAAGTAACGCAAAATTACCGCTTACTTATAAACAAAACCACAGATTTTTTTTCATTTGAAAATACGCTCACAACTTTATACTTATGGCTATAAAATGTTTTTGTCGGGCTTGTTGGTCTAATGGTTAGTGACCCTGACTGCTAAACCGGAAGTCGTGGGATCAACTCCCACCCAGGACAAATATTATGTGATGAGCACGGTCATTTGTTCTGTGTCTGGGTGTAATTTATCTATAATATGTATTTGAAAATATATAAGTATGTTTATCAGCGGTCTGGTTACCATAATACTGGCTCTGCCTAGTTTGGGATTAAACAGCCATGTGTGAGATGGAGATATATTATTATTATTTATTATTATTGATGACGTCGTTTTATGTATATACCCAACTTGTATTGTTTTTACTTTAAATAAATAAATTTATTGTTGATTCGCTCGTTACGTGTATTAGAAAGCAACTGATATGAGTTGTCAGAGTCAATATCTGCACAAAGAAATCAACGGGAGGAGGTTTTTGTTTCTCGTTTACAACAAAGTAAAGCACTATGGCACTAAATAATAATGGCTAATACAAATAATTTCATAAAGTTATTATATTTTGACTAAAACTCATATTCAGATAAACATAATGAAACATGTCGAGTTTTGTAACATGTTCTTTTTCTTGGTGGTTCTTCATTGTAAATTTCATCAATAATATCGAATATTGTAAATAATCCATGGTTTTTCAAACTTAATATAACGAAAGCAACTATAATTAATTATTATAGGTTACACCATAGATATATAAGCATAGATTTTTACACCAGTACTTTTATTCGTTACGGTATCTTAACAACCCAAGAACTAAATTTTTTTTGCAGAATTAAAATATCGCGAAAACTTAGCAATAAACACAGTTGCACTCCCCTCATACAACCACAATGACCATTTAAAGTGTCAAAATTGAATTTGAAGCTATCTCACTGCGGGGTCTTCAACTGTATTATACTTATAAAATTGTTTATTTTACTCATCCGTAGAAATCATTTATATTACAAGAACTATGTTACTAAGGAACTATTGTCATGTTCTAATATATACCTTCAACAATTTCTTTGGTATACGAAAATCATCTCAACTTTCCGGGGCACTTAAAAATAAATAGTCTCCATAGTTCTTCTCTTCTATGAATGTTTTATCAATAGGTCCTTTATATACCTAAACAAGTGTATATTCATGTACCTTCCCCACACGAAATCTAAATGATCCCAACTCTTCAAACTCATCACATGATAGTCCACCACATTGGGTAACTTGCCTCTCAGTATCTCTACGTCCTTTTCGACAGACAAATTGTCCGACATCCCAATCATCAAAGCAATTTTCATACTAACCTTATTGAGATTATACTTAGGAGGGTCTCTAGAATGATATTTGATCTTATTCCCCGAAGGACCATAGTCAAACTGGGCAAACTTCTTTGAGGAAGCAATTTGTAGAAGATGTATTCCATTCTTTAAGGATGATCCACATGGATAATGTTTTAAGCCGGTAGGCCAGAACTCGGGTTCAGGTTGCCTGTGAGCTCGTCCAAATATATCAATAATAAAACTGTTGACACAACGCGAGTATCCGACCATCTTCTGCATACACGTGACTCTTATTAAAGCAACGAGGGCAGAGGAATTCCTCATCAGTTCCCCATAGCCAGAGACTTTCCCTGGGTTAAATAAAGACTTTTTGAAGGCTACTAACTGGAATAATGGCGATTCGGCGTTATGAAGGTACGCTATGGGTGCCAAACATATAAGTAGTTTTACCTTTTTATTGTACTCAGGGTTCACAGCTCCCATGGCAAAAAACGCCGCTGAACCTTCAGAGTGCGTAATAGCTTGGAGTTGATTTTCGCCCGTCTTTTTCAGAATAAAATCAATAATACTAGGCATATCTTGAATTGCTATTTCATGTAAGCTGAACTCCCAGAACGGTAGTTCATCAGGGTTCATCCAAAGATGGGCTCTTGAGTGAACGTTTCCTCTCATATTCCCCAGCCATACGTCATATCCTTCCTCTGCTAGAAAAGCAACTAATGATACGTACCCTCGTATTAGGAAGGTGTCTGATGAGTCCACGAACCCGTGTTGTAAGTATATCGGCGTTGGTTTTTTGCCCGGGATGTTATACACGCCCAAGATGTAGCCATCTTGGGTTGTCACATTATACCTGGTGCAGTTTAAATTGTATTGTTTTGCGAGTTTGCAGAACTTGTCCGGTGCCACTTTAGGTGTTTTCACTTTTATCGATGTTTTTGACGTTGAATTTATCGAATGAAGGATAGTAAACAAAGTTATAGCCAATATATTCGAAATATACATCTTTGACAATCTATTTTTTTACTGTGATGATATTACACTAGTATATTACTTGTTCGATCTGTTATATTCGAATGACTGTCTTAAGTATATAACCCTTTACAGTATACAACTGTTTGTATATTTGTGTTCATAAATATCAATAAACTATAACATTAACATAAGATTAACTTAACATATTTGTATTGTAGTGTGTTTCTATACAAACAAAGTTTTGTTCTATTTAACAAAGAGTACAAATAACGTTATTTAACATTTGTTGAAGATTGTCCATTGTTTATTATTTCATAATAATAACTTCAGTCTAGGTAGTCTTACTATAACATAAATAGAAATCTTATTTTTATAAAGTAAGTAGATTTTACATGCTTCAAGTCTCTTTTCTAACATATCATCATCATCATCAACAGCCTTTAACAGTCCACTGCTGGACATAGGCCTTTCCTTAGAAAGGAGGTTTTGGTCTACTATACCACGCTGGCCAGACAGGTTGATATAGGGTTTGTTTCGGCCTTTTCCGCGTAGTTTGCTCCCTTAGTCGTCTCTTACGACACCCACGGGATGAATAGGGGTGGTGACACTCCGAATTCTTAAGCCGTCACTACATGGATTACTTTACACAACATTACTTATCTTATAAATAATATCAGACCTGCCGTCCTGTATGGCTCCGAAAGCTGGCCCATTAAGAGAACGGATGAGAGACGCCTGAACGTAGCCGAAATGCGAATGCTGAGATGGATGTGTGGTGTGACTCAGATGGACAAGGTTAGGAATGAGTATATACGAGGGAGTCTGAAAGTAGCGCCACTGGATGAAAAGTTAAGAAGTAATAGGTTATCTTGGTATGGACATGTCATGCGGAGGGATGAGGAAAATGTGGCGAAGAAAGTTTTAGGTATGAGAGTTGAAGGGTACAAGAGAAGAGGCAGACCGAAGAAAAGGTGGATGGACTGCGTGAGGGAGGATATGGCTAGGAAGGGAGTAAACAGTGAGATGACGCATGACAGAGTAGAATGGAAAAATCATACATACTGCGCCGACCCCAAATAAAATTGGGAAAAGGGTAGGCAGATGATGATAAATAATTTCTGTACAAGAACGTGTAGTTAAGACGTGAAAGCGTAACAAACAAAGTCATTTTCGCATTTAATATGTAATTAATATGTAAAGCTTTTATATATTAAAATATAATCATAAATTTTACAATAAATTGTATATTCATAAAAAAAAATCTCTTTTTAGACCTTAATGATTCAGATTTAACTTCAACTTAACTTTGACTAGCCTTTACCTTAGTATTATGTTTTTTTAACAATTATCTATATATTTAAAGTAAAATAAAATACAGACACTTTAAATTTGTTGTTGCTATCACAACTACCCACATATATACATTAACTTGAATTACTCTTGTATGTAAAATGTACGAAACTGGTTTACAATACCGTTTATTCTATTCTAAATATTAGACACAACATGATACAGTAATGAAGTTATAAAGTCGTTGATTTCTTTGTAAAGAACTTTTTTTTTACAATTCGTGTGCATATGATAGGATTAATAAATTTTATACATGTTTTGTATTTGATATAGGTAACTATAGTTCGCCGAACAGGCGACTTTCGACCATAAATCGGTTGATAAAGAAAATGTATTCCATTGTTTGTTAACATGTATTTACACACTATTTTAGTATACAATTTGTTTATAAGATTTTTATTGCCACAAATAAAAATGAGAAATTAAACAATTGACAAATTCAATAACATACTTTTTGCACTGTAGTAATAGTCAAAAAGTTATTTTTATTATAATAAAATATGTTTGTCAGTGGGTCACGTTCAGCTTGCTTTTCATTATTTTTGAAGTGTGTGTGTGTGTATTGTTTGCTAGTATCGTGTTTATTACGAATAATAGTATCAGCTTGTCTTCAGAATAATTCTATAATGATTCTTAAACATACACACATAATAACAAACACAAGTGCCGCCTTACACATACACACAACAACAAACACAAGTGCTATCTTACACATACACACACAACAACAAATACAAGTGCTACAATCCTAACGTAGGGTATAGGAGGTATAGTTCTTGACCAGGTGTTAGTAATTCTTTCGTGGCTTATCACCGAGTCGGTGAGGTCATCTGAGCCCGACCCACTCAGCCCCTGAGTCTGAATTTTGAATGAAAAATTTCCGGGACAACTTTTCCATATAAAAAGTTATAGGCACTAAAAGACGTAGACGACGTACGCTCAGTAGGCTAATTCCCCGCAGAGCGATAGAGGCGTCGCTGGAGTCGCTGCAGCTGCGCGGGGCGGGGGCGGGGTCGGGGGCGGCGGTGGCGGCGGCGGGTGTGGGCGAGCGGGGCCCGGAGCCGGCGCACGACCCCGAGCTGCTGGCGGCGCTGGCGCTGTCGGCGCAGGAGCAGGCGCAGCGACAGCAAGCGCTCGACGCCGAGCAGCGAGCGCTCGACGAGGCGCTGCGGCTCTCGCTGCTCGACAACTAACTGGTAAACGCTTCAGTTACATAAAATTAAGAATTAACGAATTAAGAATACAGAATGACATCACCATTATTCATCCCGTGGGTGTCATAAGAGCCGACTGACGGAGCAACCCACGCGGGACGACAGCACTGCAGAGAGAAGGAAAACTTAACACAAACCCTATACCGACCCGTCTGGCCAGCGTGGTTCCTATGTCAGCAGTGGACTTTTAAAGGCTGTTAATGTCATGTGATTGACATAAAACTAAATTTATAAAAGAGGTTATAGTTATTAGAAAGTAAAGAAAAAAAAACTACTTTGAATAATAAAAAAATTAAGTAGGATTTTCCAGTAAAATTGGATAACTGTTATGCGATGGTGATATGTGTGACTCTGATACAAAACCTTTGAAAGGTATCAAGATTAGAATACAGTATGGTTTAACTCTGTTCGATTCCGATATACCACTTCCACGCTGACTCCGATGAGGTGAAATAAGTGGTAGAATTTTATTCATCATCAGCTTATCGCAGTCCACTGCTGGACATAGGCCTCTCCCATTGCACACCACTTAGATCGATTTTGAGCTTCTCGCATTCAGCTCCAGCCAGCCATCTTGAGCAAATCGTCACTCTACTTGGCCTTTGGGCGTCCTACACTGCGTCTGCCAAGACGCGAATTTAGAATTTTATTAGTCGATTTAAAAGAAATTGAGGATTAAAATAATCTTTTTTTTTATGTTTCAGATCTCAACAAAACTATGAAGCGTCCAACCAAAATAAGACTTACGCGTAATGTACTTGTAGTAGCTAAAATTTATACCAAACAGGGTCCATTCTCCCTTCTTCTCCACGATACACACATACGTAGTTTCTTCTCGATCATGTGAAAAGAACAACGATTACTTCCTACACCTCAACACACATTAGAATTCTAATTTATTTTATAAACTATTAGAAACCTTCACTGTGTATATAAAATAAGACTTATTCAGGTACATATGAGTAGTACATAATATGACATTATATTAAAATTGTAAGTAAGAAGCAACTACAAATAACAGCCAATATTTCTCTCATTACTGTCGATGACTGTACTTCACGGCTATTTTTTTATGTAACATACGCCAAATATCAAAAAGTATTTATCACCTCCTATCCGGGACCTGGTACCGGCAACCGCACGGTGAATTCATGGAACGCTAAAAAACAGGTCTAAACATCTGTTCGTTAACAAGAAATTTTCAAAGGAAATTTGAATAAAAAATCGACAGTGTTACATGTTCACTCAAATAACTATGTGATAAAATATTTCATTAATTAAAATACAGGATAGTTCACTCGCTGTTTGTCACTAAAGTTGATAATAATGTTATGTCAAGGTGACTACACAACTTGTACTGCACGGATGGCGTAGTCGTTTAAGCGGTCCCCACGCCGCTTACTACTACACCAAGTGCTGTGGGTCTGATCCCCACAAATATGTGATCCACAAATTGTTGTTCTGAGTCTGGATGTTCTTTGAGTCCGTTTCATGTATGTTTGTAAAGTCCCCCGTGACACAGGATATACTTATTACTAATGCGTGACTTGTCTTTTTTTTTAAATAAAAATAAATTAATGTAATGGAACTTGGTTCACGTATAATTCTTTTTGAGGGTGACTGTACACAGTAATATCAGTAGGAGCGTCAGGTAACTGAGAATGGACCCACAATCTTAGTAACTTTGACTATAGTATATTTATTCATCGTTATGTAATAATATCTATTTAGTATCGCTATACGAGTGAGATATAGTAAAATAATTAATTTTAAATTAAACTAACTAATTTAATTATTTTATAAAAATTAATTTATTAAATTAATTATTACAAATAATTAATTATTAAATTAATTAATTTAAAGTACGTATTCCGATGGAATTGTTTAAAGTCGAGTATTTTATTTATTGAGTTTTTTTTTGTTTGTAGCCGGTTGTTCGTTTTCTATAAATATACATATTTTTTTAATTAAAAACTAGCTTATACCTACGGCTTCCCTGGCGTTATAGTATTTTCCATCTTTTGTTTTGTTATATGTGGATCAAAGGTGCATGTAAAATATATTATTTTTATTAATTTCATACTTCATCCGCCTCTGAAATATAATATTTACGATGGTGTATTATTTTTCATTTTATTTGACAATTGTATTTCGTAATACCAATAGGGCTCCAGCTTATTTGAGGATGTACGGTTTTACCTACTTCTGTAATTCAAGGACAGAACTGTCCCTACGCAATTGTCAGTCTTCACACTGGTTTTTATCCTCCATTCTGATTGCTCCGTAGTAACTTTTTCTGCAGTTTCTTGTTGGCCTCTTTAGTAACAGTTTCAAATTAATCATGAAAAACATAATGGTATTTTATACTCTGTTGTGTTTCGTGGGCCTAACTATGGTCCTTGAGCAAGGGACGAAACGACCTGTCAAGTTTTAATTGACTATCAATACGAGCCATAGACATAGTTACTCTAGTTTGAAATTAAATTAATTAATTATCAATAGTATTCAACAAATTGAGATACTTTATAAATTTTGTTATTAGTAATGACCAAGATAATATGGCGTGATTTGTCTATGGTTTATCGTAGTGCAATAATGGTAGACTGTTAAGTCGGTAACACAACCGTGAGATCCCTGAACAATTACGTCATCATAGGTTATGACGTCAACACTTGCTGCAGGCGACAGATTTGGGCTTTTGTCCCTCAAAAAAAAAAAAGAAATGACATTGTTACACGAACGTACGTTTTATTTAAGATATTTTAGAAATTGCTACTTTATTTTATAAATACTTACAAGTAATCTGTGTTTTAAATTCTTGTATCACAATAATTTATTAGTTCGAAATGAACCTTTGAAATACCCTTAAGATGATATAGGTACTAATTCTGTTGTTCGAAATCTCTCTAAACTAAACATCACTAAAAATTTGTTTAGTCCTGTCAAACAACGTTTCTTATTCTGAAAACGTAGTACTTGGCAGGATTAAACTAAGTTTTAGTGATTTTTAGTTCAGTTTAGAGAGATTTCAAAGAACAGAATTAGCACTAATAGCTTAAGATCAATTTGCAAAACCGCATTTCAGTATTTTCTAAATTTTAATTAAGATGAAATAATTGATTATCTTGGCATACATTTTTGCAACTGAACTTGTTTATGATTTCTTTGCATGATATTCTCTAAGAATGTGATAAATGTTTTTGTAAATACGCGACATTGTAAACTGCTCGCACGCGTTTTTGCAATCTCATCACTATATAAAACTTAGACCGTTTCTTGATTTTGACCTTTATGCCACTTTGAATAAAATCAACTCCGTTTAAAATAAAATTGATGATTGGTTCTGTATATATGTTTATAAGGTATATTATTTTTATACGGTTTCTTATTTACTTTTAGATGGCAGCATTGTCATTTTAATATATATTAACTAATCGCGAAACTTCGCTTTAAATTTTTAACCGCCATTCTCCTATATAATCAGAAGGCCAATTCTCGTTATAAAAATTCGGTCAAAATTCCGATTCCGATTTACTGTCGATCTCACAAATGTCATAAAATATGTTTTTGTAGTCGACCAACAGCTGGCCTGACCTGAGACAGCTCACAACGCGTTGTGGCAATCACAAAAATACTACAGCGAAGTTCGTGTTAAACGACCACCACGCATTGGCGCAATGAAGAATCATTCGCGCCATTGTTTAATGGAAACCTTTACGACCATGAACAAAGACTCTTTAACGTGTATAATTATTATTTATTACGCCATTTTTTAGAAATCCCTAACCAAATTTACCAAACCCCAGGATACGCAATGTTTGACATTACCATATTACATTCTACATGCAGGATATGTCTCCTGATAAATGTTTTCATTATTGGGAACTTATATGTGCAATAGATGTGTTAAAGATAAAACACTATAATATTTATGAGCCAACGCAAGGCGATTAAAATGTCGGATAAAAAACACAAAACTACCTCATTAATATCGCGACCATCCTATCTCTGTTCATCATGATCACTGTGAGACTCAGATCCTTCACCAACAGCCTTTACTAGTCCACTGCTGGACATAGACCTCTCCTTAGAAAGCAGGTTTTAGACTCAGATCCCTAATCTCATTAAATCAATCGTTAATTGGTAAGCTTTTTTAAAGAATTGGAGGCGTGTTCAGCCCCCTTTGATAACTAAATTACACATAAAACATAAATGTTTAAAGATTATTAAAATATTAACCAAGCAATAGTATTTAGGTTAGCTGTTGGTTCTTGCAATTCACGAATGCGTATCTATTGTAACTGAAACCTGTATTGTATATTATTAGTAAGTTGTCTATGCCCTAAGAAACAAGGTTTCTGATTATAGATCTACACAATTTCCAAAACAGTTTTAGTCCTTGAATAAAAGGAGGTCTATGACCCCCAAGACCAAATTCAATAGTTCTTAAATCTCAATTACGATAAAACATTAAGATGATACTGTGTAAGATCATGAACACACATACATCACGTATGTGTGTATTTATACATGTATCAGCCAGAAGCGTGTTCTGTATTGCAAGAGCTACAGAGAAATATTCCAGTAGGCCCCTGTATAAGAGCCCTTGTAACTATATAACTATTCCTCAGCTGTGATCTTTATACTAGAAATGTATTTAATATTTTGTATTGTCTCCAAAGAGTTTTGGATTAGAAATTCGCGTGGTATTATTGTAAAGTTTAGATCTCATATAGTTAAAAGCATAATAGTGATGAAAAGTTACAAGTATAGACGGCTTGATTTGTTACTTATAAGGAGTACACGAAATGTAAATGAACGCCATCTTTTGGCTGGAGATTGAACTAGTGTTAGCGACATCTGTTGGTTAATAATGTAATGTGCTTTGGACATATTATTATTAGTGCAGCCAGTATTGAAGCCGTTAGCCTATTTCGTATTTGTATACAAAATATTGAATACATGTCCACATGTGTTTA